CTATTTCACATCTAGGTACACTGAGAAAATTCTATACTTCTACTACAGGGCACTGGGGAAACTGGACAGGGTTTGGAGCCCCAGAATGACTGTTCACAGCAGGTTCCTACAACCTCCCTATACTCCCAGAATCCAGGGCATCACTGGCTCATGGACAATGGATTACATAAAGGCGCCTCACTTTGTTCACAAGAATCTGTGAAGGAAAGTCCTGCCTGGATCCTTGTGGTACAGATGTGGAGCTGAGGCTTAGGTCACCCAAGAACATGCCTGACACACAATTCAAGAAGAATTAAATTAAGGCCTTCTAATATTTGTATTAAAGAAAAGTAAGGCCCTAACCAGTTTGGCTCATTGGATAGAGCGTCAGCCTGCGGACTCAAGGATCCCAGGTTCGATTCCGGTCAAAGGCATGTACCTTGGTTGCGGGCACATCCCCAGTAGGGAGTATGCAGGAGGCAGCTGATCGATGTTTCTCTCTCATTGGTGTTTCTAACTCTCTATCCCTCTCCCTTCCTCTCTGTAAAAAAATCAATAAAATATATTTTTTAAAAAAAGGATCATTCTTGGATAAATCTTCTCTCTCCCTCCCTCTCCTTTCTCATCCTCTCATTCATTATATATATATATATATATATATATATATATATATATATATATATATATATATATATATATATATTATTGGTTTTACAAAATATTTTCAAGATACTAGTAGTTACGCTGCCCCACATCTCACCCAGGATTCCCTGTTGATAACCTCTCTGTTGATAATTATTACTCTAGTCCATATTTTGTTTAGACTTCCTTACTTTTTATCTAATGTTATTTTAAAAATCATTTCTAAACTTTATATTTAAGAATGGCTTTTAGTTTCCAGCACAATTGAGCAGAAAATAAAGAAAGTACACCCCACCCCCATCCCCTGTTGCTCATTGACACTGCTTTCCACCCTGTCTCCATTGTCCACCAGAGTGGTACAGTTGTAGCAGGGGATGAGCCTTCCTGACATACCACAATTACACAAAGTCCATGCTTCTTCCAAGAGTTCTTGGTGTTGTTCAATCTGTGGATAGTCACAAATGTACAATGACATATACTCACCATCATAGTGTCATCGAGAGTATTTTCACTGTCCTAAAAATCATCTGTGCATGTCCCCTCTTTCTAACCCCTGGTAATCACTGATCTTTTTCCTGTCTCCATAGTTGTGCCTCTTCCAGAATGCCATATGGTTGGAATCATACAAGGTAAGTTCATTGATCATCTCCAGGTTTTTCATATCTCTTTTAAAAAGGAAATCATTGTGAAACAGGTTAGACATGATTTAAAGATATCTGCTCCTTTTGGATAAAATTCTGAAGCACACAGAATTATGCCCCTCTATACACACACACACAAACATGCACTTACATACATCACACATGTGCATGCTCACCATCTCCATATTTGGGGCAGAAGAAAACATTGAAGAGTGTCCTTTTGGAATTTTCAGTCTCTAACTTATGTTCTTTATCAAGAGTGTTGGTTGCGACCCTAGAAAGTTGGAAAAGTGATTCTTTTTCTCTGTCAATGTTGCAAGTCACCACTCATGTCAGCTTGTGACTTGCTACTTCTGTCATATGAAGAGGTGAAGATGAGTACATGGAAGGCACCAGAAACAAGCTCTACAAAGGCCTGGGAGGGAATCCAGGGAGAATGGCACCAGGCCCAGAGAGGAAAAGACTAGCACATGCTGTGGGCTGTTTAGGGAACGTGAGGGAGGCAGGAGAAGACTACCAGAGGAACTGGGGTGGCCTCTAACCAGACTCATTTATTCTGCATGCAATCTTTCATTCTGCTGTCATTCATTCATTCTTCTATTCATTTAAAGAGCACTCATGAAGCAATGAGCATGTCCCAGGGTCTTTCTGTAATGGACTGGAATGCAGCCAAGGAGACATGATCCTTGCCCTCAAAGAGAAGGCAGACAACAGGGGGAAAGACAAGGATGTCAACCATGACAATATACAGGTACTGACTATGTGGGAGGAAAGGCTACAGTGCTCAAGGTGGGGTCATCTAATTGAGCTAGGTGCATCTCTCAGGCATTTCTTAAATCCTTCCTACAGGGCGTGGGATGGTTGTTGAAAAGGTCAGTAATTGGCCCAGTGCCCAAATTGGCCCAACATTCAAATAATCTTTAGGTCATTGAATGTGAGAGGAGGATATGTATTAGGGATGATGGTATAGTTCAATGCAATCAGTTTAAAAGTATAAATTCAATTAATTTGACAAATATTGACTGAGTGCCTACATGAGCTCAGACAGAGTATGTGTCATTGACAAGGTCCTATAGCCTCTAAAGTAGTTGAATGTATTAGCTGGGTGATGCCAGTTGCTATAACAATAAAGCCCCAACTTAGGGGTTGAACACACTGGAAAGTTATTTCATATATATATATATATATAATTGATTTCAGAGAGGCAGGGAGGGAAGAGAGAGATAAAAAACATCAATGAGGAAAGGGGATCATTGATTGGCTGCCTCCTGCACACCCTCCACTGGGGACCGAGACTGCAACCTGGGCATGTGCCCTTGACCAGAATCGAACCTGGGATCCTTGAGTCCGCAGGCTGATGCTCTATAGTCTATACACTGAGCCAAACCGGCTAGGGCTGGAAAGTTATTTCTGCTTCACCTAAAGCCAAATGGTTGTTTCCACGGTGGAATATCACCAACAAAATTCAGTTGTTGCCTCTATAATCCCAATCTTGCTAGACTTTGTGACTGTAGCTAAATTGTTTACACATTTTGGTAGTTTTCTGTTTTGGGCATGGCTAATACTTTTTTCTCAATCTCTTTGGCACAAAATATCAAAGATCAGTTTGCCTGGAAGATCACCTGGACCTGCAAACACTGTCCTGAATTCTCCCATTTGCCACCAGTGGATGGCAAAAGTAGTGGCACGAGCCTTCTTTCCAGGTGGTGACTACACTGATGATATCTGCTAATAGGCTCCAAGGGAGAGCAGGGGACAGCAGCTTAGGAGCAGATTCTGACTCATATAAAAACAGGGGTGTTGAGTCCTGAGCAGATCTGGGGTCAGCCACCCAAGTCAATTCTTGGGGGTACTAAGGACTGAGGCTCAAATATTGATTCCTGAGACAGTAAAGGAAAAGTCACATGACCAAAGGGAAGCCCAGACTGAGTGGACTATTTGGGGACAGGAGATAAAATGTGCCTCATCTAGGTGTTATTGAGCCCTGTGTATAAACTGACCACAGTTTGTAACAAATTTGTCTGGGTAGCAGGTGTGACAGATTTTGGCCACACCAAAGTAGCACTTGAGACTGAGCTCTGCCATATTTCTGGCTGTCAGGATCAATTACAGCCATATGACATCACAGCATTCCTGGCAGAGGGCTAATGAACATGCCATTCAACAGCCATTTCATGTTTCCTCTCATTCTCAGCTGATGACATCAGCAAGAGGTAGAGAGGACTTTGAAAGCGTGACTGGGATAGATCGTGTTGCTGGTCTGATCGCTGGATAGACCGTTTGGGCAGTGTTGTGGACTATCTACATAGCCAGATGTGTGAGCATTATAGCAGCTGAGTCTCAGAGGTGCTGGGACAGCGGCTGCCCACTTCAGTGTGTGCACCTCTGTGATGGGAAGCAGCAATCAGTGATTCGAACACGCATCTCTCATAGGTGAGCAACAGGGTCCTCACCACCCATCCTGGCACTCAAAGTCTGTGTGCAAGCTACTCTGGGAACACATGGACTAGGGTCAGGGATGGGTAGGAGCTGCAGAGCTAAGGGTTGAAATTGAGCAAAGTTAATCATTTACCATGCAAGTCTTCCCCTGGAATTTGCAAGCCTTTACTAGATGCCAGAGTTCCAAAAATAGTTACCTCAGACACGCCATTCCTGTCCAAGTGGCAGACAGAGATGCTCCTACTCTACCTATTCCCTTTCCTTTTCTTTTGGCACCAAATGGAGACTCCCCTTCTGGACATCACACATGTAGGCTGACAAGCCTTTGCTTGAAGCCCTACTGACAAGGAGTTCACTGCCTCACAAGGAAACTTGATCTGCTATTTATTGAAAGCCTACCATGGGTGAGTGACATGGGCTCCACTTTGAGTCTATCAGTGCCAGGCATCATGCTGATCATCACACCCATCTAATGAGGTGAGGGCAATCCTCGCCCCATTTACAAGAGGTGATGAGGCTAAGGGAGCTCACGTTGCTGCTCAAGGGAGAGCCATATTGAACTGAGGTCCATTTTTCCTCTAACACATGGCGGGGAACCAAAGGAAATCAAGACAGGAGCTTTGTGCACAAGTGTTAGCGATCTAGCTGGGAGACAGCAATGAAATAAATGCTCATTTAGAATAGATATGTGGTGAAAATCACTGATCAGACCTAGGGGGGTGCTGGCAGCAGTTCAGGAAAGGCAGGAGGGCCTGTAGGAGCCCCTACATGGGAGGAGAGGAGTGGAGACGGATGTTTCAAACTGATGGTCAGCTTTGGGGCTGGTGATTAGCCCTGGACATACTCTCAGGACTGGCTCTACCTTCTGCCTTCCCTCCTGCAGAGGTTAAATAGACACAGGCTGCTTTGCAGCAATCCATTGTTTGTGATGGGGCATAGTCGCATTTCCTGGGCTATAGACCAAGACCGGTCCTTTATGGTGATTTGCAATATAGCTTGGCCAAGTATAATGTGTTTTGGACTCATCTGAAAAGCTTATTAAAATACACATTCCTGCCCAGCCAGCGTGGCTCAGTGGTTGAGCGTTGACCATGAACCAGGAGGTCATGGTTCTATTCCCGGTCAGGGCACATGCCCAGGTTATGGCTCGATACCCAGTGTGGGGGTTGCAGGAGGCAGCCAATCAATGATTCTCATCATTGATGTTTCTCTCTCTCCCTCTCTCTTCCTCTCTGAAATCAATAAAAATATATCTTAAGAAATACACATTCCTGGGCCTCACCCTCAGTGTGTCTGGGTTGTAATCTGAGAATTAGTATTTCTAGAGCTCCCCACATGATCCTGTTGCTTTGTGCCCTCAGGCCACACTTTGAACAGTGCTGATTCACATTGCATTTCATCATCAAAAAACACTGGATACCTATCTGGGGATTTTAGATTGAAATGTTAGGAAATGGTCTGTGCCAAACCCACCCTAGCCTCTGCTGTCCATGTACTAGGAACTAGGAGCCGTGGGATGAGGGATTTGGATCCTCTTCCTACCTGGACACTTAAGGGCTGTGTGATGTTGGATCACTCGCCTCTGTCAGTTTCAGGCACTTAGTTTATCAATAGGAATACAACTGCTGACCTCATAGAGATGTGGTGAGGATTAGATGAGGGGGCAGGTGAAAGGCAAAGGGCCTTCATAAGAAACAAATGTGAAGGGAGAGGCAGAAATCAGAGTGCTAAGTCCACAAGCCAAGGAATGCCATGGACTGCCTGCAATCATCAGACTCTCAGAGACTGGCATGGATTCCCTCGGGCCCTCTAGGGGAAACCAACTCTGATCGCATGTTGATTTCAGACTTCAGATCTCCATAACCAAGAGAGAATGCATTCCTGTTGCTTTAAGCCACTCAGTTTATACACTTTGTTATAGCCACCCTAAAAAATAATACAGTGCCTTAAATGGTAACTATTTTTTCAAGAACAAGATATTGAAATAAGAAGTTTTTTTTTTCAATAAGAAGATTGGAGTCATATTTTGGAAACCATTCTTTTATTGTTCACACTCATATCTGCTATTTGTGAACTTCTTCCAACTACAAGTCTAACTTTCTGTGCAATGAAATGTGACAAAATTCATGTCTGGTTCCAAAGGCTAAACTGAAAATGAATGAATGTGTTACACATTTAAACTCTTAGGGAAGACTCAGATGGCGAAAGCCCCACTTCGAAAGGTGGAAAGCAGGGACACACTTTGCGCCCTGGGCCCACGAGGGCATGTTTCGGATGCTACCACCGAATCTGTAAACTCCTAAAGGGCGGTTTCTCTTCCAATACTTGGAGACGCTGCAGACCAAGAACCGTGCAGTTGGATCTGTTCACCAGCTTTGCTCATAGAGGGTTAGAGGCTGACCTGTACATTCTGCAACACAAACAAACATCCCCCAAACACCGCATTATCTCTAAGACGAAGTAGTGACATCATGGATTACAGAGAGAACATATAAATGGTCATGTGACCACTTGTTAACTCTACAAAGGCAAATGTGCTCCCTTTAAGAACCAAATATTAAAACAACCGTTTTATATATTTGCATTTAACATACAATTTTCTTTAATTCAGCAAGTATTTCTTCAGCATCCATATGCCAGTCCTCATTTTTAAGAGCCATCGGCATTTATTTTTATCTGGACATATCTATTGTTGTTATGTAATTTTAAGACATTATTAATTTAGTTTAAAAAGTCCATTGCATAATAATAAAGACACCCCCCCCCCAGTCCCATCCTAAGAACATGGTTTAAAAAAAGAAAAGGCTTACTTTTTCATGGCTATATTTTCATCACTATAAAACACACAAAAAAAATACAATTATTTCTTTTAAATTACTATCATAGCTCAACAGCTGTACCCCCTGCCCCATGTTTTTAGTCTAATATGATGTTGACAGAACCAGTTCAGGAGAAATACAGGTTGAGAAGGAGATGAGTGATGTGAAAATGAAGTGTACAAGGTCGCAGAACTCAGAGTGAAGGGCAGACCATAGGGTCGAAATGCAAACTAGTGAAAACAGCTACAAAGTCAAGTGCCAAGTCCCCGAGACAGAACTGCAAACAAGAAATAAGAAGGCTGGTTAAGGAAGCCGAGGAGAGTAAGCAAGCAGGGGAAAAATAGTTAAATCAAGCCCGAGAAAGTTGGTACAAAGAAATTATCTGAACAGAGATGACCCAGTAATTAAAAAAAAAAGAAAAGAAAAGAAAAGAAAAAGAAACAAGTTTCATCTCATCAGAGCTCGTCTTTAGCAATCTCTGTGTGGGCAGCAGCAGAGGAAGTGACCCCCAGCCTCTGCAAGTCGCCTGCTCCTACTTACTCTTCATAGACATCCTCCGAGTCCATCCTCCGATAGTACTTGGCTAGCTTCACAGCAATAATTATAGCCGGAAGTAGCAGTATGGTAGCTTTTCCTATGCCAAACCAAAACAAATTCTAGGGAAAAGGAGAAAACCGTGAGGATTACATGCATGAAGATGGGAAATGGGACACAACAGTTACTTGGGGGAAAGAACTCTATTTTGCAGTTTTTAGAAATGAGTTCTAATTTCATTCATTGAAACCACTGGTAAACTTGATAGGAGCCAGCCACCGGGTAACACGCTACAGATTATTATAATTCATTAACTCTTTTTAAAAACCTTGAAGAAAAAGTAACAGAGAGGGTAAGTGAGGGAGCCAGGTTGGCTTCTAGGACATGCAAAATAGCTGTGAGCCAGCCCCCTGTGCTGCCAAGGATGCAGCATGGACAGCCACAGGCAGGGGCTCCAGTCCCCTTGGTGAGTTGTTCTGATGTTTCGGTGACTAGAACCTCTCTGGGCTTTGTCCCGCCTCTGAACCGTGGACAGCAGCGTCCTCACCCTATGACATTACTGTGTGAAGAAGACGTAGCAATGCTTACTGTGTACTAGGTTCTCAACAAACAGTCCATGTTTATTTTTTTTTAACTTTTATGACTCTAGAGAGAAAGAGGAAGGGGGGGGGGGGAGAGAAACATTGATTTGTTGTTCCACCTATCAACCTACATTTTTTCATTTTTTAAAATCCTTACCCAAAGGTATTTTTCCATTGATTTTTAGAGAGAGTGGAAGAGAGATGGAAAGACAGAGAGAAATATTGATTTGAGAGAAACACATCAATTAGGTGCCTCCTGTACACTCCCCCCCCCCCAATCTGGTCCAGGTACGTGCCTTTGACTGGTACATCCCCTTTGGTTTGCAGGCCGATGCTCTGTCCACTGAGCCAAACTGGCTAGAACTATCCACCTACATATTGGTTGGTTCTTGCATGTGCCCTGTCCAAGGACTGAACCCACAACCTTGGTGTATCAGGATGATGCTCTGCTAGTAACCAACTGACTACTCCATCAGGGCAACAAATGTTTAATTGAGCCAATCTTTCAGGTAGCTGGTAAGCTGGATTCAATCCTGTTTTGTCTATAAAGCAATGTTAAAGTATTTTTTTAAATAGTTTCCAATATCCCCAAGTCAGATTTCATAGAGAAATCTGGATTTATCTATTTTCTTGAAAAGTCTGAAGTCATGTCTCATAACACCGAGCCCTTCCTCCCGCATGGCAGCATCGGCTGGGGCTGAGCGCTGGTTCTTCCTTCTGGAGGGTGTCAGCCTCAGTCTGCCCCGGCCACACCCCTGACTTTGACAGCCAACGTTGTTTAAACTTGCTTATCAATCAGAACCGAAGCAGCTGCACCATCAGATGATGCTGTGTGTGCCCAGACAGGGTCTCACATGTGTCCTGCTTTGTGAACCTACAACCTGCCAGGTCCCAGGAGAGGTTCAAGTATTCATGCTGTGCCTTAGGCTAGTCCTGTAGGCAACTCCAGAGCAGTCCTCCCCAGTCCACCGTGAGGCAAAGGCAGCTTGGGTTAAACGACAACCACCCAAAGCCACCAATGACTATTCCTTTCCAACTATTCTGGACAAATAGTTTTCTTCACAAGGGTCTCCTACCTTCTGTGAACACAGTTCTAGTAAGGAACGAAGAATCACAGCTAAGTCTTTGACTTTTCTAGTGAATTAGGTACAAGAACATATGCATTTCCATTTTAGATTTTAGGTCTAAATGTAACACACCTGAGCAGAAAACTATTTTATGTTACAGTGTGTAGCACAATCCTGGGGGGAGGAGAATCAAAGATAATGAGGTTGTCGCCTGTCCTTATTTTGAAAGATGAAATTCTCACCATGGGTTTGGTGATGTAGTTGCACAGAAAGACGTCAAAAGCAGAATCGAAAGCAGTGGCCACAGGTTTGCAGGCTGCGATTTCCTCCATGACCTGAGGGGGAAAGAAACACAGGCAGACCCTGAGCCAGAGCCACGAATGCATGAGAGCCAGGCATGCAGTGCTCCTCCAGCCTGTTTTCACAAGAACGATCTCTGTCCGCTAAGATTCGGAGCTGAGAGCCGGAGCTGAGAGCTGGTTTCTATGGGTGAGTTCAAAGACGTATAAAAGTATGTGTTTGAAAGCAAGGCCCTGAGTCTCTCTGAGCCTCAGTTTCCAGTTTCCTCACCTGTCATTTGGAACAACAGGACCCACCCTACTGGACCCCTGAGAGAATAAAAAAGTACACCTGGGAGAGGATGCGGAGAAAAGGGAATACTCGCGCACTGCTGGTGGGAATGCAGACTAGTGCAGCCACTATGGAAGACAGTATGGAGTTTCCTCAAGAAGTTAAAAATGGAACTCCCATTTGACCCAGTGATTCCACTTCTAGGAATATATCCCAAGAAACCAGAATCACCAATCAGAAAGGATATATGCACCCCTATGTTCATAGCAGCACAATTTACCATAGCGAAGATCTGGAAACAGCCTAAGTGCCCATCAACAGATGAATGGATTAGAAAACTGTGGTACATCTACACAATGGAATACTATGCTGCTGTAAAAAAGAAGGAATTCTTACCATTTGCAACAGCATGGATGGAACTGGAGAGCATTATGCTAAGTGAAATAAGCCAGTCAATGAAGGAAAAATACCACGTGATCTCACTCATTTATGGATAATAAAGACCATTACAAACTGATGAACAAAAATAGATACAGAGGCAGAGCAGCATCGAACAGACTGTCAAACTACAGCGGGAAGGCCGGGGAGGGTTGGGGGGCGGCAGGGGTGGGTAACAGATCAACTGAAGGACTTGTATGCATGCATATAAGCATAACTAATGGACATAAGACACTGGGGGTAGGGGAGGCCGGGGGAATGTCAAGGGGGGGAGGGGGGAGGAGACATATGTAATACTCTTTGTAATACTTTAAGCATTAAAACAAACAAAAAACCCCCCAAAAAAACAAAAAAGAAAAGAAAAGGGAATAGGACTGCAGGCCTTCCTTCCCGCAGGGACCAGTGAGCCACCAGCAGAAAATGAACAGCTCGCGCGTGTAAGCTGCCCTTGATTAACCTGGGCCTCTGGCTCACACCCCTGGGCCTTTGCTCGGGGACTTGCATGGTGATGGAAGGAATCAAAAGTCTGCCATCCTGAAGCTGCTTTTTCGGATATTGATTTTAAGCTGTTTATTAAGAAACAAAAGACTAAGAAAGAACCTTTGACCCTCCCCACCCCCTCTCCCGCCCAAGAGAGTCAGACTGAGAAGCCTGCTTCTGGAAGGAGGTCTTAGGATGCTGCCTTAGCCTAATGAAGCATGGTCAACAGGAGGGTTCAGGCAGGTGCCTGCCAGCTCAGTACCCCCTGTGCCCATTGTTTCTGAGTCGGCCAGCAAGAATTGTTCTGCCACGCGGGTTCCGACCTTCCTCAACTACCTGCGAATCGCCACTTCTGAAATTTAATACCCCATTCTCTCCCTTTTCTCCTTTGTCCAAAATGCCCGGCATACCCAATGTTGGACTTTTCATGGCTGTATCATGTCTATGTGAATTCCCCATGCACATGTACTAAACTCTGATTTTCCTCCTGTTAAAAAAAAAAAGTACACCTGTCCAGCAAAGTGTCTCAGTCTGAATTCTTACCTGACCCCTTCGGAATCTGACAAAGGATGTGGGAAGAAAATGGAAAGCTGGTTAACTAATAAGTGCACATTTTAGAACCGGGGCCAGCAAACTTTTCCTATAAAGGGCCAGAGAGTAAATAGTTTAGACTTTGCAGGTGAGATTGCCTGACTCTGCCATGGCAAAGGCAACCACAGACAATATCCAGACATGGGTGTGGCTGAGTGCCAATAAAGTTTCATTTACAAAAACAGCAGTACCTGCTGACCTTGTTCTAGAAGACAGAAAACAATGTACTTATTCATGAGGTGAAAGTAAATAAGTTCAGTGAATCCCAGACAGATGCTCTAATCCCATTGACTTAAAAGAGCTACATTCATTCATTCACCCAAAAAACATTGGAATATAGACAATGGAGAGTGTCTTATTTCTCTTCCATCATTGGTTGGCTCACCTATAGACCTTACAAGGCAACCCATGTTAATAACCCCGTCTCTCCAAGTTCAAACAACATTACACACTCTCTGTATAGGCTTCTGTTAGTTTACAGAAAGTGGGGTAATGGCTCATTTTCTGTATGTTTTTCTGCATCTTGCTTTTCTCTCCAAGTCTCGTGGTGTGGCTCTGATCATTTTGTACAAATGGCCACTTAATATTCCCAGTGTGGCTCGTGTATAACACAGCCATTCCTGTCTAGACTCGCTTTGGTTCCAGAGTGTTTGCTTTGTATTCCAGGTATGAATGTGACCCAAATGTGGTCCCTTGGTCTAGTGGAGGAGATGTGCAGTGGTGATGGTGGTGATAACGATAATGCATTTCCTCCACCACCACTCACTTGGATGCTGGCACTGAGAAGATCCTGAGGTCCTCACACCTGGGGCATGGGAGGAGGTGTGAGCACACACATCAAGAAGCTGGCTCTTAAAGGAGGACCAGGACCAGGTGCATGGCCCACCAACTGCAGGAGAGTGGGTACCAGAGGCAGGGATTGGCAAGGGGGATATAATATGCAGAAGGAATTGCATGGAGAAATGTGAACATTTGCCTGGCCATCATGGCTTAGTTGTTGAGGATCAATCAACCTATGAATGATATGTCATGGTTCAATTCCCAGTCAAGGCTCAATCTCCAGTGGAGGGGGGGGGGGGGGCGCATGCAGAAGGCAGCTGATCAATGATTCTCCCTCATCATTGATGTTTCTATCTCTCCCTCTCCCTTCCTCTCTGAAATCAATAAAAATATATTTTACAAAAAGAAATGTGGAAGTTTCAGGGAATCAAGCAGTGGAGTGTGGCTGGAATGTGGGGTGGGGCAGAAAAGAAGAAGATGACCAGGCAGTTTTGGCTCATATGGTGAAGGGCCAGGGATAGGATTTGAGAAGCCCAGTGCTTCTCAGGGGTAGCCAAATTTTCCTGAGTTACTAAACTTCTTCAAGCCCATTTGGCTGGCAGCACCCACCCAAGTTAGTCAGCTATAAGCATCACCTTCCCCCAATGAAATAATCCTCGAGGGAAGCCAGCCCAGAGCTCAAGATGACAAAAGGCATTTTTCAAGACACCATATTCCACAAAAGTTGGGTGCTGGGAGCAATGTGCTACCTTAAAACCCCTAGAAACTTTGCTCTTCAACTTTTCTGATATATTCATGGAGATATAACGATTATGGAGTGAATTGCATTCCCCAAAAGTTCACATGTTGAAGTCCTAACCCCAGTACCTCAAAACTATATTTGGAGATACTGTCTTTGAAGAGACAAGTCAGTTGAAATGAGATCATTAGGGTGGACCTTAATCCAACATGATGGGTGCCCTTACAAAAGAAGAGGAAATTTGGACAGACACTCACAGAGGAAAGACCAAGTAATGACACAAAAAGAAGACTGCTATCTACAATACAAGAAGAGGGGCATCAGAAGGAACTAACCCTACCAACACCTTGATCTTGGAGTTCTGGTCTCCAGAACTGTGATATGATAAATCTATGTTGTTTAAACAACACCTAGCTGACTACCAACAATGTCCTAGGCTTAGTGCTGTCCATGGTGTATACAAACCAAGCTCCAAATGGACTCTATCTTAGGGAGCTCATGGTTCACTCGGGGAGACACAGTCAAGTGTGGCAAGAATCCCTGTGAGGAAGTTGAGCCCAGGAAGCTGCCGGGGGAGACAAGGAGGGGCATATTCTCCAACCTGGTGGGAGGCCCAAGGAGCCACCCAGTGTGGATGGCACTTGTACTGTGTCTCATGGAGCCTCCAGTTGTGGTCCCCGCATTCAAGGTCTTTTTCTTTATCTTCCACCAAATTATTGGGAATTTGATTTTTAAAAAATATATTTTATTGATTTTTTACAGAGAGGAAGAGAGAGGGATAGAGAGTTAGAAACATCGATGAGAGAGAAACATCGATCAGCTGCCTCCCGCACACCCCCTACTGGGGATGTGCCCACAACCAAGGTACATGCCCTTGACTGGAATCGAATCTGGGACCCTTGAGTCCACAGGCTGACGCTATATCCACTGAGCCAAACTGGTTAGGGCAGGAATTTGATTTTTATTTCCTTCTGATTTTAACCTAGAAAATGACTGTTCTAACACATGACTTCCGTATGGTCATAAAAGAGAAGCTACTTACAGCGCTCTTGGCCCAGTTCAGATAATATTCAAAATATGAAACGATTATATCTGCATACTCCTTACTTTCCTGGAAAGAAATCAAAGAGTAGGAAAACTGTTAGGATGATACTCTACTGAGTCAGGTAGTTATGGTCACATATCTACTTATTGGCATACTGATTTTTTTTTTATGTCTTTTTTGGCCCCAGCCAGTTTGGCTCAGTGATGAGAGTGTCAGTCCTCAGCCAGTCAAGGGCATGAACCTGGGTTACAGGCTCGATCCCTAGTCCTGATTGGTGTGTTTGCAGGAGGCAACCAATCGATGTCTCTCTCTCTCACATCAATGTTTCTCTCTGTGTGTCTCTCCCCATCCCTTCTACTCTCTCTAAAAAAATCAATGGAAAAATATCCTTGGGTGAGGATTAACAAAAAAAGGAAAAGAAAGAAAAACTATTTTTAAAAAAGTCTTACTTCAATAATAATAGATGGAAGATCGTTTGTGATGAATTTCTGAGAAGAATCCAAAGCATCAAGAATATTGGTCACTTGCACCTGGAAAACACAGCAACAATCAACATGGTTTCAAGTGAGAAAAGGGTTTCATCGGACAGTTTGAGTATTGATGTGAGTGCTGTTAATTCAATCCCACACCACCACAGCTTGTAAGGCAAGGGGACCATAGAACCAGCTCAACGCTCCGACGTTTAGGGGTCAGGACATGGATATGTAGCAAGTATTTCCTTTGAGCCAGATACTGGGCTAGGTCCTTTATCTGAATCACATCACTGAATACTCACAAGGATGAAAGGAAGGTATTGTTATGTCCCTTCATAGGCGAGGGGGCTGACTCTGCCCAGTTAACAAGCCGGGAAGCCTAAGACCTGGAATTTGAACTTTCACTCCAAAGTCCACATGCTTTGCACTGTCACACAAATAAGAACAAGGCCACTGCCTACCCACAGGGCAGCTTGGTGCAAATTAGAGGTGCCCAGAGACCTCAGGGCACGTAGCCTAGACCAGGGGTGGGCAAACTTTTTGACTCAAGGGCCACAATGGGTTCTTAAACTGGACCGGAGGGCCGGAACAAAAGCATGGATGGAGTGTTTGTGTGAACTAATATAAATTCAACGTAAACATCATTACATAAAAGGGTACGGTCTTTTTTTTCAATAGTTTTATTCATTTCAAACGGGCCGGATTCGGCCCACGGGCCGTAGTTTGCCCACGGCTGGCCTAGACAGTGAGTCAAGAGTGGCTTTCTGCCCCCACCTGCCCCTCTTGAAGGTCAGTGCATAGCTGCCTGTTGTCACCCTTAATTCTGAAGTGTGTTGGGGTGGCACAGGATCTATATAAAGCCACCAGTCTGTCTCAGATTCCCTTGGCATGGGACACACACTTATGAAATGGTAACCGTGACTGAAGGTACAGGGACGGTCCTGAGTAGAGTAAACCTAATAGTCTTCAGAGGAACTAAGTCAGACCTTGGTACGTCAACAAAGAGGCAGGCTCAGTGCTACCCAGAGAGAAGACCAAGGGCCACCTAAGGAGCTCACAGTTTACTGGAGCAGTGGGGTGGGTAGGTGAGACCCAGTCAAATATGGCAAGAATCCCTATGATGAAGGTAAACATGCGGAGCTCCGAGGAAAGCCCAGAGAAGGACATGAAGTTTTCTGTGGTGGGGCTAACCTTCAAAACCTTCAGGGCAGCCCATTGCATTAAATGAGAAATATTCCTGAGCTGCCCATTGACATGGTGGCTACAGCTGAATGCAACACAGCCCGGGAGCTCAGTTTCCGTTGTGGAAATGTTTCCAACTCAGAGAGCCCCTGTGGTGAACTGTATTAGTTGGTCACGGCTGCCTGGTGATGACAGGCATGTTCGTGGGGCATGCTTTGGCCAATGGACGTAGAGGAAGTGGCCATGTGCTGGTTCTAAGAAATGGCTTAAAGGGCAACCTGTGTTCCCATTCATCCTCTAAATTCCTGTTCTGCACTCAGAGGACATGAGGCAACCCAGACAGAAACTGCTCCTCCAGGCTGGTCTCTAGGGAGGGCAATGTATGGAGAAGCCTACAGTCCACCCAACAGTGAAAGTCTGTGGTCAGAAGGCACTGAGACCTGAAGGCTGTTTGTTAGGCAGCATTCTCTTGGTGAAAGTGACTGGTGCATCTTCTAAGTCTGCATCCTACACATCCAAGTGCAGCTTTCCCATGGTCCTAACCTTGTGCCAAAATGAGGTTTGTACTGATAGAAGTATTTACCAAAAAATCATGGTAGGAAAACCCAGTTTGGCATTTAAAATAAGTGAATCATTGAGACTTTTTAAACATGTAAAGTACCTGAAAAAGCAACATCTCTGAAAGTCTGTATGCGCTTTATAATAAGACCCATGACTGAAAAAGAAAACACATCCTTGCCTTCAATCCACTGCCTCTTTGTTGAAGCTCCTGAATTTGATGGTGTAGTTCTTTCTAGTAAATAAACAGAGGCAATAGTTTCCAGCTTATGACACGAAGCAGCAAGATCACACACCTTGTGCACCCCCCTCACCCAAACCCAACTTTACTCTGAAATGGGTGTGATACTGAAAAAAAAAACACACACACACAAAAACAAACACCAGTCTCCAGTAACCGTGTGCCGCACACACCTCTATGTGGGGAACTGGAAAACCAGGATGCATATTCTAGAGCTGCAAAGGGCAGTGCATAGCATACAAGTCTGTTACTTAAAGTAAAGCTGCCCAACACGACTGGTTTAACGTGTATGGTTTAGAACAGGGACTGGCAGACATTATCAGTTTCGGACCAGATAGTAAAGAGTTGAGGCTTTTCGGGCCATGCCCTCTCCCAACCACTCTACTCTGCTCTTGCAGCCAAGAGCAGCCCCAGATCATCTGTGAATAAGTGAGCACAGCTGAGTCCCAATAAAACTTTTTGTAAAAGAGGGCAACAGGCCAGCTTTGGCCCACAGGCTGTGGTTTTCAGGGCCAGAGTTAGTTAACTTCTGGCTTACACTGTGGGTCATGAGTACAGAATAACTTGCCTATTTGTAGATAGGTTGCTCCAGCTCTGAAAAGACCATGGAGCCCTCAGTCTGCTTGAAGGAAGGCATTTAAGAGACATGCAAAACCCATCTTTTAATGTGAACAAATTTGGCCCAGCCAGTGTTGCTCAGTGGTTAAGCATTGACCAATGAACAAGGAGGTCGTGGTTTGATTCCGGTCAGGGCACATGCCTAGGTTGTGCATTCAGTCCCCAGTGTGGGGCATGCAGGAAGCAGCCAATCAATGATTCTCCTCATCATTGATGTTTCTATCTGTCCCTCTCCCTCTCCCTCTCCCTCTCCCTCTCCCTCTCCCTCTCCCTCTCCCTCTCCCTCTCCCTCTCCCTCTCCCTCTCCCTCTCCCTCTCCCTCTCCCTTCCTCTCTGAAGTCAAATATATATATATATATATATATATATATATATATATATATATACACACACACACACACACACACACACACACACACACACATACATATGAACAAATTTGTGCTGGGCATAAACAAGTATGGCAGAAAATTGTGATGAGCACAGCACAAACATTAAGAAAATTCAGTAAGAGGATTTTTGGGATACACTAATGAATTAAACAGTTAGAAGAAAAAGAGAGGGACTAGTTCTAGTAGCTTCTGAAGTTGAGGTCAGTGAGCTAATATGCTTCTCCAAATAGTTCAGCTTCTCGGCCTGAGGCCAATCGAATTTGACCCTTGTGACATGCACACGTGTCCTTGGGCCACAGGAAAGTCCGCCAGTGAAACGGGCCGTGGTCAGCTTGCAGGGAGATGCCAGAGGCTGACTGTTACCAGTTGCAGTTCCAAAGGCAGGAACTTGATATTGTGAATGTCTTGGATCTTGATTACGTTCCTTGTCAGGGACTCTTTTAAGACTCCGGGGGGCTACAGAGAGAAGAAATAAACACAGATCAACCCCATTTTTCCAGATGGCAGAGCACTTGAATGCCCAGCCCTTGTGCCATGGTATCTGTGGGCCTGGGAGCTGCCGGGAGGGGCCTCACGAGCTATAAGTTTTAACCCACATTCATTAGCCATCCTGAGTGCCCTGGGCTGTGTTCCCACTCTCCCACCTCCCGTAACAGAGCTATAAGTCACTTTATAGTACCCATGTCCCTGTTTTGCAATGAGAAAACCAAGGCTTGACTGAGCCCATGTTCTTGAACTCACGCCGCAGTAGGGTTTACTGTATGAAGGGGTAAAGGTCCTCCTGCACCCATCTTATGGGTGAGGAAATTAGGGCACAGATGGGGAAATGTCTTGCCCAGGGTCCCACAGTAAGGAAGTAGCTGAGTCAGGATTTCATCTGGGTCTTCCTCCAGACCCCAGGTGCTCCCCCCAGCCCCCTGCCGCCGGCCCATGCTCCGCTGCTTCTTGAAAGGGACCATTTTGTCTCCAGCCAGCAGAGCAGCCAATGAAAGGGATGCTGATGAAGGAGGCCCAGATGGGGACACTTCTTTTTTTTTTTTCATGTATTTTTGTTGACTTCAGGGAAGAAGGGAGAGGGAGAAAAAGATAGAAACATCAACGATGAGAGAGAATCATTGATTGGCTGCCTCCTGCACACTCCACACTGGGGACTGAGCCTGCAACACGGGCATGTGCCCTGACCGGGAATTGAACTGTGACCTCCTGGTTCATAGGTCGACACTCAACCACTGAGCCATGCCAGCTGGACCCCTCAGCCATGTCTTATTAGTGATATGGAGGACCACAGGGAATCTCCTCCCATGTCCTTAGTTACAATCCCCTGCGCTCCATGGAACACATATGCAAATGGGTTTGGCAGAGGAGAGGTTGCTGAGGAGAAACAGAACCAGTGATAAATCCATTATTGCCGGGAGCCGGTCCATGCTTGCTGTTTCAAGGGACCTGGCATATATGGCATACTCTTTTTAATATGTTTGCTCACCTTCTTGGCACTATGTGTTTTAACCAAGGTCTCTGAGAAAGGTTGTTTCCCCAGGTAGGGATTTTCCCCTGAAGTTAGGGAGGGAATAAAACCTCTTAACTAAGTGCCAGGTGGGTAATTAATCACTTTAACTACAAACAATCATGCTTAAGCTACATAATCTTTACTCCCTGGAATGGAGATAAGAAACGCCCTAACCTTTGAAATAGAGATTGATAGGATTGGAATCAACTGGTATAAATACAGATGTAAGAAGACAGCAAGACACAGAACTTAGAATACAGAACTTAGAACACAGAACTTAGAACGCAGAACTTAGAACGCAGAACTTAGAACACAGAACTTAGAATACAGAACTTAGAACACAGAACGGAGAGACAGAACCTAGGCACAGAACCTACACAGAACGTTCTCTAGAGACAGAAGAACTTCGCTGGAGAGAACATGGCAAAAGATCCTGGACAGAAACTGGCCTCAGAACCTAGAGACAGAACCTAGCAAGAGAACATGGCAAAAGATCCTGGACTGAACCTGACTACAGAAATTGGCAAGAGAACCTGACTAGAACTTGGTGACTGAACCTGGCTGGAGAACCTGGACAGAACCTGGCTATAGAACCTGGCTGGAGAACCTGGAGAACCTGGCTGGAGAACCTAGCAAGACAACATGAACACAGAACCTGGCTGGAGATCCTAAGCAGAACCTCTCTGGAGATCCTGACCAGAACTTGGCTACAGAACCTGGCTATGATGATCAACTGAATGCTGTCTCCGTGTCATTCCTTCTTCACCGACTCCGTCTACACCTTTGGGGACCCCTGGACCTGCTGGGGCCGGACCCCGGCACATTATGGGCACCAGGACCAAGCACAGGCTTCGGGAAGAGCTGCGTGCACCCCGAGGCCACCATGGGAGCCTTCCCACGCTCACGGATTTTTGGGCCATGCAGCTGTGGCTGCTGATGGAAACTTGAAGAAGTGCTTGTCAAGAAGGGATTATCTGCCAGGCTAGTGTGGCTCAGTGGCTGAGAGTTGACCTATGAACCAGGAAGTCACAGTTTGATTCCCGGTCAGGGCTCATGCCCAAGTTTTGGGCTTGATCCCTAATGTGGGACATGCAGGAGGCAGCTGATCAATGATTCTCTCTCATTGTTGATGTTTCCCTCTTTCCTCCCTCTCCCTTCCTCTCTGAAATAAATTAAAACATTTTTTTTTAAAAGAAGGGGTTCCTTGTGGTGTGAGGAACCCTTTCAATAGTTCCCCTAACAGCCGTGTTGGCATTGGATATTGACAGGGATTTCAGAATTTAATTGGGCCTTCAGGACTTACCAACTTGTTGGCGTGTTCTTTTAAACCACTTGCATATGTTAAGAGATTCACTTTTGTTAACGATTTACCTGTCTGAAAAAAGAGATTAAAAAGAACCATGTCATGACTATGGTTTTTTAAAATCTTAATAACGTCTAATAGGCAACAGAAGGAACATGGTCCATAAAATCGGGCAGACACTCATACATAGCGTCTGCATTCGTCTTTAGACCCATGCGACCATACTATGCGACCACATGGAGAACAGAAGTACTGACTGGCACGTGCTGTCATGCAGATGAACCTCAAAAATGGTGGGCTACATGAAGGGGTCAGTGAAGGCCATTAAACACAAAGGTCACATCCTGCATGACCCCACTCATATCAAATACCCAGGACAGGTAGATGCATAGAAACGGAGCACAGGTTGGTGGCGACCAAGGGCCAGGAGGGGGAATGAGGGGCAGCTGCTGAAGGGACACAGGGCTCTGTTTTTGGGCGATGAAGGTGTTCTCATGCTGGACAGAGGTGGGGCCTTGTGTCCCAGTGCGATTATCCTGAACACTAGCGATTGTTCACTTAAAAATAGTTGCTTTTCTATTATGTGAATTTCATCTTAATAAAAAAGTAAATCAAAACAGACTAAAAAAGACTTGTGTTCTAATTTCCCCCCCAAAGACCAATTGTGGACACATGGGTCATACATACCTCAGCCAAGTAAGTGTCATAATCGATTTGCTCCACTCCCGAGTCACTGAAATCCAGAAGGTTTCTTTTTCCTTCTTCTTTGAGGACAATGTCATCAAGGTTCACGCTCATCTTTTTAAATTCATTGTTCATGTGTCTAATGTGCTGTGCAATAAGAAGTCATAAGTAAGTCCATTTTTCTCCAAAAAAGTCACTGAGGAGCAATGAAATTACACCAGACAGCCCTGGCCAGTGTGGCTCAGTTGGTTGGGCGTCATCCCTTTACCACTGAAAGGTGAAAGGTTGCTGGTTTGATTCCCAGTCTTGGCACATGCCCAGGTTACGGGCTCCATCCCCCACGGGGTGGTGGGGCATGCAAGAGACAGTCGATCATTGTTTCTCTCCTTCTCCCTTCCTCTCTCTCAAAAAAATCTGTTTCTTTTTTTTTTTTTTTTTTTTTAATTACAGGAGCCCGACCAGCATGGTTCAGTGGTTGAGCATTGACCTATAGACCAGGAAGTCAGAGTTCGATTCCCCGTCAGGACACACGCCCCGGTTTCGGCTCCATCCCCAGTAGGGGGTGTGCAGGAGGTAGCCAATCAATTATTCTCTCTCATCATTGATGTGATATCAATAAAAATATATTTAGAAAAAAAATTACACAGGACAAAAAAAATACACAGGCACTTGACTGGCATTTCTTCTTAACTCTTCCCTCCCCTCGCACCCCTCCCCTGCCTCTTTCCTTATGCTCTATGCAGAGCGCTATGTGAGGAGGTGGGGTGCAAAGCAAAATAACAGCACATCTTTAGTCTCAAGGACCTCAAAAGGCAGAGGCAATATCATAATAAAGGCACAGGACCTGCACCAGGACATGAAGGATGGGGGAGAACCTTCTAGGAGAGGAGGCAGGGAGGGCAAAACAGAGGAGGTGGCTTCTGAGTGAGTCTTAACGAAAGAGATGCTGAAAGGGGGTGGGCAGGCTGCATCCGGGACAGGAGGCACAGGCACTGGACTCAGGTGGTTGGGGAGCTTGCATTTATGGGAGCAGGAAGGATGGCCTGGGGTCGTCCTAAGAGCCAGCCGGTAGTGCCGGCAGTGTGTGGTGCCCAAGGACGCTGGGCCCTCCGCACCCACCGCTACTCATCCTGGCACACAGAGAGAACGTCTGATGGCAGGCATGATGGGGAAATATGTGGAGGGCATTTATTTTGGGCTTGGTTACAAAATTACATTTTTATTTATATATATAGGCAAGGTATATTTAGGGAATATAATCAATACAAAATGTGTATACTGTAACCCCCTTTTTAAAATTTTTAAATTTGTTTTGTTAATCCTCACCCAAGGATATTTAGAGCAGAAGGGAGAAAGGGAGGGAGAGGGAGGGAGAGACACATGCCTATTGGTTGAGACACAGCTGAGAAACCCAGAGGGCCTAGAGGAGTAGGGGAGTGGGGATGGCCTTGACAGATGGCACCCTGGGCTTAGGCAGCTGAAACTCTCCTGCTCCCTCTGCTGGTCAGAAGGGGCATTCCATCCTGTCCCCTTCCATCCCTGCTCCCACGCTGTCCTGGGCCCAGGGCCAGCAGAGCTCAGGAGAGCCCATAGCTCTTGGTGCCTAGCCCCCCTCCAGGGACCTGGCAGAAAACGGTGGCCAGTCTTATAGAGCCAAGCTCCCTGCGAAGCAAGTGGGGCTTGCTCCTCTCGAAACACCAACCCTCAGGGAGACAGAATCTTTCCCTTGGAGGCCCTGTTAGGGGACAATCAACTGGAGGTACTCATGCCTCAAGAGAGACACCAACTGGCCGGGAGGGATGCACATGTTTTGGAATTAGAGCATATGAAGTGTCACTCCAAAATGGTTCATTTTATATGAATTTCACCCCCTTTTGAAGCAGCAAAGACAAGTGGATTGGGGAAAGAGCCACGGGAATGTCCTGGCGGGTTCCGAGTGCGTACCTCCTCAACGGTGAGATGCTCACTGACATTGTAGACATTCTCCAGCTGCAGGGCAGTGTAGATGCCTTTGTTGTCTTTGCAGTCTCTGTGGGGATAAGCAGAGCGACCATGAACCAGAGAGGCAGCTGTGCCCCCCCCCTCCCCCCGTCCCCTGCCAACGAGGAAAAGAAGGGGTAACAGTCTCTGTTTACAATCTGTGAACAAAGTGGCCACTGGGGGTCCACGCAGCAGGCTGTGACCAGCGGCGGCCTGAACCCCCGTGGTGCCCACCATTCCTGACTTCGTTCCCCACTTTACAAAATGTCCCATTTGGAAACAGGTTCAGTAGGATCGGTAAATATGTTCTTCTGTCTGTCTCCTCTGTGTTCTTTCCAGGTCTATAAGGAATAACACATTTATACATTGGAAAGAAATAAATTCTCATTTAAAAACACCCTAGCCCAGCCTGTGTGGCTGGGTGGTTGAGTGCTGACCCATGAACCAGGAGGTCAGGGTTTGATGCCCGGGTTGGGAGCTCAATCCCCAGTGGGGGGCACGCAGGAGGCAGCTTATCAATGATTCTCTCTCATCATTGATGTTTCTCTCTCTCTCCTTCTCCCTTTCTCTGAAATCAATAAAATATTAAAAAATTAAATTTAACAAAAAACAAAACAACACTTGCTATAGGTAGGTGTTACAAGGCATATCTTGGGCTTTATTAAAAGGTTCTGTCAAACCTCTGCCAGCCCATCTCTCTCTGTATCCCCAGGGCTGAGCTTCACTCACTAAACACCTGGTTGGAGGCACATTCTAATGGCAGGATGGAGACACCCAGGGGGCTACCGACAGGTCAGGATCCTTTGGCTAGAAACCTGACTTAGCCTCACTCTCTGCGCTTCCTTAAAATGAGAAAACCACCTCCCCTGAGCCTCATCTGATGCATATTTCTGTCACCCACACAGCCACTTCCTGAGGGTGTGTCCTCCCTGTGCTGCAGCCAGAGCCCTCTAGCCCTGAGAGGTGCCTGGAGAAGAAACACTCCGCATCCTAGGAGGTGTGATAGCCCTCCGTAGAGAGCCCCAAGTAGGCTGGTGCTGCTGGAACAGAAAGCTTGATGTCCTAACAGAAGGAAGGCTAGAGTCCTGCAGGACCCAGAATCACAAAGAACGTGGTCGTGTCCTCTCCACACAGGGATGGTTTAATCGTGCACAAAAACACCAATGGATTGATAATGTCTGCCTAGAACAGCGGTCGGCAAACTCATTGGTCAACAGAGCCAAATATCAACAGTACAACGATTGAAATTTCTTTTGAGAGCCAAATGTTTTAAACTTAAACTATATAGGTAGGTACAGTGTTATTAACTTAATTAGGGCACTCCTAAGGCTTAGGAAGAGCCACACTCAAGGGGCCAAAGAGCCGCAGTTTGCCGACCACAGGCCTAGAACATGCTGTTGAGAAAGATCCTGAGAGGTCTCTGGGCTGAGTAGAAGACCACAGTTGATTAGCAATGTCTGCCAGGAGGGCAAAGTGAAAGGATGGTGAACTCATGTGCCACTCACTCATCTGCTGTCTCTGCTAGAGGAGCTGAGAGACACTGAAATGTCATTCCTATTGTACAGCGAGGAAGTGTACCGTCTAAGATCACAGAGGCCTGGTGGCAGAGCCAGGACCGGAGCCCAGGCAGCCCCCGCCCCACAGAATGGCCCTTGAGCTGCATCACCATTTGCGCATCTGTGGTTTGGACCCACCCACTGACTTTGTGTTACGTGGCATTTATTTGGGGCAGGGTGGTCCTTGAACAAGAGTTTTCACAGGGTCCTGCTATGCATTTTAAAGTCACTTTCACCAGTGTGTCCTAGTGATCCCTGGACAGGGGGACCTTAAAGCACCACCATTCCAAGGTCTAGAAGGTTCTCAAGGGAAGGATCAACTTCTTGGTCTTATTTCTACTATTCCTTTGGTAAGACTAGAGAACAGTTTAATTCTGAAACTGGCACGTCTGATCATTAAAGTTAAAGGCACTTGGAAAATAAAATTATCATTCTGAAAATAAACAACATTTGAACCAGCAAAAAAAACTTATACCTGTAAACTTGTTCAATAGTGAGATTAATATCCATATTGTTAAATATCTTGCCAGAGAGATAGTATTTCCAATTCTCATTTAGTAAATATGGTGTGTCCATAATCTAGAACAAATTTTAAAACTTTTTAAAAAGAAAGGCAGTTTTCTGGGGGAAGGTCAAGGGGGGAAAAAAAAAGGAGACATATGTAATACTCTTTGTAATACTTTAAGTAATAAAACAAAACTTTTAAAAAAGGCAGTTTTACACTAACATATACACATATAATAAAAACAATGTTATGTTAAGTATATTTTAGGGATTTTCATGTCATGATGCTCCTCATTGATGTTCAATTTAAAACTATAAAACAATAGTGTGGTTGGAATAAATCAAACCACCACTGGGTAGCATCAGCAGAAATTATTGAAATTACTTTGGAGAACTCTACTTTTTAGTAAAACAAACACATTAGAAATGACAAGAACAGACCATTTTATTAAGAGTAGATAATAGAAAGCCACAAAGCGGTTGACCCAGCTCCTCACTACTTCTCTCTAGACAAAATGAATTAACACTCACACATTCTCCGACTTCACATCATATATATTTAACATGGGCTAATTCATGCATGGCTGTGTATGTGCTTGAGGAGTGGAAATGGTTTAGAAATAGCCCCTACTTTTTAAGAATTATTTTTAACGATTTAACACAATATGGAAGATAATAGAGTTTAGTTTGATGTGTTGTTACTATTTTTTTTTTATCAAGAGTCCATGTGAGGATAATATGACAAATCTATGCTCTCAATTTAGCTTTTCTCAACCAATCAAATCATTAAAATACCATGACAACAACTGATTAGTTTAATAGCCATTCACCTGATTTTGTGACAGATCCTGAATTGGAAAATATACACAGTAAAACAGGGAAACATAAATATGTTTAAAAAATCAGAATCTGGAGAAAAACATCGGAGAGCCAAACTTAAAGGGCAAACATGAAAACCCAAACGTCCTTCTAATTAAATGAAGCTAAATGTGAAATGCCCCCCTAGACTATGTGGAAGTTGGGTTTCGAGGGAGAAAATGAGGCTTGAGACCCACTTCCAACTGCCTCGTCATATTCTGCCAAGAACAAACTATCTTGCCAGGAGACATATAATTTATCATCCCCTTCACTTCAAATATATGGTCTCAAACCATCTGTGTGGGCAACTGTCATCTGGGAAACTCTTTAAAATGTCAGAAACTTCCTGGGGTTTGGAGGCACCCAGGGATTTATCTTCTGATTTTCCAGCCATATTTGGGAACTACTGCTGAGCAAAATTTTCTTCTCCCCAAATATTAATGTCCCCATTGATACACATGCTTTAATTCCTGGTATGATTTCACTTACAAAAAATAATAATAATAACAGCATATATATTTTTTGCTCTGATAGAAGGAATCTCAACTTTTTGAATAAAAATCAAACTACTCATCTTTTTGCACTGCTCTTGAAGAAACCCAAAGTTTTGGCTCAAGCTCTGCCTTAATGGTAACAAAAACTTCATTTAGCTGAACCGGTTTGGCTCAGTGGATAGAGCATTGGCCTGCAGACTCAAGGGTCCCAGGTTCGATTCCGGTCAAGGGCATGTACCTTGGTTGCGGGCACATCCCTACTGGGGGGCGTGCAGGAGACAGCTGATCTATCTCTCTCATCGATGTTTCTAACTCTCTATCCCTCTCCCTTCTTCTCTGTAAAAATTCAATAAAATATATTTTTTAAAAAACCCTCATTTACCTGGAATAACTTCCTGTTTTGGTAAGGTTCACAGACCAATTTTTCCATATTTACACCAATGGCAAAAGTAAGAACCACAAAGAGCATCGATATCCAACAAAAGAAGAAACTAACTCCAACCCCACTGCAAAAGAAAAAAAGAAAAGAAAAGAAAAGAAAGAAAAGAAATAAAGTTAAGAATTCTATAAGGAATTGTTCATTATTCAATATTACCTATCAGTAATTACTGACTCTATACTCAATGTAGAAGAGGAACCTGCATCTTTAGCTGTTTACAGGTCAAATGAGTCAGCTTACCCAGGAGTGAAGACAGAAAGTGGTCAGCACAGTGGTCTTTCAGTCCTGGGCACAATATGTACTTAGGGAACCCTTAAGGCTTATTCCTGGTCCACCTGCAGCCAGTACCATGGTTCAGACATGGGCTCTGAGTTACTTGAGTGAACCAAGACTTTCTGCAGCGGACACTGTGAGTGGGGAGGTTCTAAAGCAAGAAATGTGCCCTTGGGAGTCTGAAGGGGGCCAACATGGCTCTGCATCCAGAGCACAGAGTGTGGTGAATGGCAGCTTGAGAGGCAGGTAGGGCTGTACTGCCAGGAAAGGGAGGGGCTTTACGTTCAAGAGAAACACAATGCAACTTCTCTCTGAAGGATACCCTTGGCAGAGCATGAAGTTTCTGGAGTTTCAAAGGGAACAAGCTAGATGACCATATAGATCAGTATCTGATAACAGGTCAATCTTTAACAATATCTGGTGAATATACGGATGGATGGATGGATGGATGGATGGATGGATAAATGGATGGATGCATGGCTAAATAGATGGGTGGATGAATGGATATGAATATAGAAAAAAAACAATGGGAATAAAGACAGCAAACTTGGACATAATTTTCATAATAGCTGCTTTAAAAAGGAGCCCACCATAAGCAGCATGTTTAAGCTTACCTATCAAAGTGCAACTAATTTAGAATTTTCTTTGACTTTTTTACTCTTAATGAAATTTCCCAAATTGATAAAAGTATAATCAACCAACACACCGATGGAACGCAGTGCTCAGCCCAGAGGACCACCATGTCACCTACTCTCCTCCGAGTTCCCACCCCTCCACTAGCAAGGAAGAGCAAACACTCACACCATGAGGAAGGTGCCTCCGGTGTTTGAGACGCAGCCTCGTGTGGTTGGGGTGGCATTCTGTTTATAGCCAAACACGCCACACAACAAGCCCAGGTAATAAAAAATCATGATGAGAGTCAGAAAACAGCAGATAATCAAGCAACTCAGCCACCTGGTGAAACAAGCACAGTGCTATTATACATGAAAGAGGTGACATCCTCGTAACACAAAAGCTGCCATACTGGGGCAGAAACAGTTGAGTATAATACTTGGCAATGAAATATTAGAAGCCCTTGTTAATTCCTCAGAAGGTGATGTGAAATGATGCCTTCCCACCGCTAGTCTTCCAACCCAACCAATAAGAAACCTTAATTTTTATCTTGGTTTTGAAGCGTTCTTGCTCCATGGTCATAGGATTATTTTCTTCCTTTGCTTCACTTCTGTGGAGCTCATAAGCAGGGTTTGCTCAACTTCTCCAGGGCTACAAGTAACAATGAGCCTTAAGACTTTTATGTTCTTTCAAGGTTCCTAGCCCTGGATGTACTTATTAGAATAATGAGGAGGTGGAAACAGACCAAGATTATAGTCAACAGACAAAGAAATATTGAGCTCTTTTCCCAGGTATTTCTCTAAAATATTTTGTGACTGTACAGATGTTTGGTGGGCATTATCTCCTCCACAGAACCAGAAATTCTCCTCTCAGTGAGTGCATTTTAGAATTTTATGAGCATCCTAAATCAAATGCCTGCAGAAGGCAAATACCAATTTTGTAATGGTCCTGTGTGACATTTGAGGATAATGGATCCTCAATTAGGTCTTCCTGGCAGTCCTAGAGTGTACACGAAGCTTTTCCAGCAGCTGAGGCTAAAAATGCTTCCCAACCTTTAAAACACTAAAAAAGAATTTACTTGTGAGACAAAAGCCTTTCATCCAATTAAAAGCAATCTTGATAATTATAATAACAGCCACCTGCATTCCTTCTATGGCATTTGTTCCGGATCCTAGGGGACACATAATTCAATAAGCCATGGAATGTGGCCTCAGAAATCCTTTTCCGTTAATGCATGCCTCTTTGGCTTAGTTAAATTTCTTTTAAAAATGAGCTGATGGTCTCTGGGCAGGGGGAGCTGACAGGTGGACAGATAACTGTACCCTTCTTTCCATTTGTGAAACTTTAACGAGACTGTAAGTTCACTGAGAAAGGGTCTGTCTTATGTTTGCCCTGATACCCACTGGGGTGGCCTCGCCCCACGGTAGGAAAATGGTCTGTGGATTACAGGGCAATAATGAAGAGATAGTCAGATGGGGTTGAAAATGCACCTCTGACAATGTTGTTGCTGCCTTAAGTGAGTCACTTCATTCTCCTGAGCCTCAGTTTTCTACAAAGCGAGGCTATAAAGAGAACACAACACAACCAGGGGACGTAGGTGCATATTATACAAGTCACGCGTGCGGTGCTGGTCGGCATGCTGTAACCGTTCCCTAATGGCTAGTGATTATTGTTATGGTTTATCTTATGCTCTTGCATAACAAATAACCCAAATAGGAATGAATGTCTCTGGAGTGTCCTTGGGTTTGGGTAGTGAGAACACTTCCAGGGGTGGGTCATGGGGCTGAGCCTTTCAGAGGGGAAAGTGCTTCTCAACGGCTCACCTGATCCTCTGAATCCCTCAAGTCGCCAAGTCCTTCCCTCCCTAGCCCTTGGTCTGATATTCTGCCCGCACCTCCCAGGGCCAAACCCCATCAGTAGCACTTTCTAATGGGGCAAATGGCTGCTTACCTGAGCTCTTGAAACAACTGACTGGGTTCAGGAATGCACTTTCTGCAAGCACTGACCTCTCCACATTTATTTTATAAACCAACGATGGAAAGAATATTATCCAACTGCCCTTGTCCTTCTTTTTTTGTTTTTTTTTTTATTTTAAATATATTTTTTATTGATTAAGATATTACATATGTGTCCTTATCCCCACGTTACCCCCTCCCCCCCTCCCCCCCGCTCATGCCCTCCCCCCCCCCCCGCCCCATTGTCCGTGTCCATTGGTTAGGCCTATATGCTTGCATATAAGTCCTTTGGTTGATCTTTCCCCCTTACCCCCACCCTCCCCTACCTTCCCTCCAAGGCCCGACAGTCCAATCAATGCCTCTCCGTCTCTGGATCAGTCCTTGTTCATCAGTTTATGTTGTTCATTATATTCCACAATTGAGTGAGATCGTGTGGTATTTATCCGCTCTCCAGTTCCATCCATGCTGTGGCAAATGGTAAGAGTGCCTTTTTCTTCTTCCTCTTCTTAAAGAATACCTTTCAGCATTTCATATAATACTGGTTTGGTGGTAATGAACTCCTTTAGCTTTTTCTTATCTGTGAAGCTCTTTATCTGACCTTCTATTCTGAATGATAGCTTTGCTGGATAAAGTAATCTTGGTTGTAGGTTCTTGGTATTCATCACTTTGAATATTTCTTGCCACTCCGTTCTGGCCTGCAAAGTTTCTGTTGAGAAATCAGCTGCCTTGTAGGTAACTGAGTTTCTTTCTCTTGCTGCTTTTAAGATTCTCTCTTTGTCTTTTGCTCTTGGCATTTTAATTATGATGTGTCTTGGTGTGGTCCTCTTTGGATTCCTTTTGTTTGGGGTTCTCTGCACTTCCTGGACTTGTAAGTCTATTTCTTTCACCAGGTAGGGGAAGTTTTCTGTCATTATTTCTTCAAATAGGTTTTCAATATCTTGCCCTCTCTCTTCTTCTGGTATCCCTATAATTCTGATGTTGGTACGCCTGAAGTTGTCCCAGAGGCTCCTTACACTATCTTCATATTTTTGGAATCTTTTTTCTTTTTTCTTTTTCGGTTGGGTATTTTTTGTTTCTTTGTATTTCATATCTTTGACTTGATTCTTGGGATCCTCTTGTCTGCTGTTGGGTGTCTGTATAATGTTCTTTATTTCAGTCAGTGTATGCTTAATTTCTAGTTGGTCCTTTTTCATATCCTCGAGGGTCTCACTAGATTTCTTGAGGGTCTCACTAAATTTATCGGCGGTTTCCATAAAATTCTTGAAAAACCTTATAAACGTGGTTTTGAACTCTCTATCCAGTCGTTTGCTTTCCTCCATTTCTGTCATTTGTGACCTGTTTCTTTGTCTCCGCATTTTTTATGCTTCCCTGTGTTGGTAGAGTGGTTTTGTGTGCTAGGTGTCCTGTAGGGCCCAGTGGCTCAGCCTCCCCCGTTACCTGAGGTGGACACTCTTGGTGCACCCCCTTGTGGGCTTTGTGCACAGTATTGTTGTAGTTATGCCTTGATTGTTGTAGGATCACTGGGAGGAATTGACCTCCAGGCCAATTGGCTGTGAGAATCGGCTGTGTCTGCAGTGGGAGAACTTCTGTGCTTAAGACACCCTTCGGGGGCAAGACTTGCTTCAGTGGGGCTTTGGTGCTCATTGCGTCTGCCCCCTGGGTGTGTCCCTTATGGATCTGAGGAGTTGTAATCCGGATGGTCCCCCTCTGACCACTGGGTACACTGGCTCTTGGAGGTTACCCAGCAGGAGCTATGAAGAGAACTGCAGATTCCCCTTCCTTTTTTGGAGTTTGGAGGTACCCTGATGAGGCCCAGCTGTGAAGCAATGGAAGCTGCTGTGGGGCCTTGGGCCTTCTCTTGGAAGTTCTGGGTCTGTGGCCCAGCTGCAGTTTGTTAGGTAATTTTCAGGTTGCAAAGGGCCAGGGAATTCATATGCAAAAGCCTCTGCTGCAGCCTGGGTGGGGCGGGGTCTCAGGGAATCAAAGGGCAGAGCAAGGAACTATGGCAGATTCTCAGCCCTGCCCTAAGGGGCTGCGAGTGTCTCAGTGTCCTGATAATTTAATTGTTGCAAGCACCTCTGAGAGAAAGCCGCCCTCGAGTTCCGAGTTCTTCCCGCTGCCAGACAGTCCAGTTTCTCCCCGTATGAGTCCTGGGTCCCCAGAGACTTCCCGGAACCGGAGTTCAGAGCAGTCGGGAGCTTGTGACTCCCTCCCAATTCAAAAAGACAGCCATGTCCTCAGGTACCAGCCCCTTTCCGAGCACTCTCGAGCCTCTGTACCTTTGCACTTTACTTCTGCAGCTCCTGACCCTCAATGTGCTTTTCTCTTTCTTTCTAGTTGTAGAATTTCCACTCCGCCAGCCTTCCTGTAAGTTCTGGATGATGTCCGTTTTGTCTTTTTATTGTGTTTTGAAGTTGTTGTAGAAGGCAGCAATTTCGGTGTTTCCCTATGCCGCCATCTTAGTTTCTCCCCTGCCCTTGTCCTTCTTAATTAAAGTTTTAAAATCCTGGTACATGCCTCAGATAATTATCACTACGATTCTAGAAGTCACTAATGACAACAAAAGTGCAACTTATTAAAAATTTGGCTCAAGAACTTCAAGTCTTCAAATTAAATAAAATACGGAATGAATCCTGAATTTGCAGGTCAGCTCTGCAGAAACTATGCTCATGTTCTTCATGTAGTTTCAATTGTATTTTATTTTATTTTATTTTTTTAATTAAATCTTTATTGTTCAGATTATTACATTTGTTCCTCTTTTTCCCCCCATAACTCCTCTCCTCCCAGTTCCCACCCCGCCCTCCGCCCTCACTCCCCACCCACTGTCCTCATCCATAGGTGCACAATTTTTGTCCAGTCTCTTCCCGCATCTCCCACACCCCTTTCCCCACCAAGAATAGTTAGTCCATTCCCTTTCTATGTCCCTGATTCTATTATAATCACCAGTTCATTCTGTTCATGAGATTATTTATTCACTTGATTCTTAGATTCACTTGTTGATAGATGCATATTTGTTGTTCATAATTTGCATCTTTACCTTTTTCTTCCTCTTCCTCTTCTTAAAGGATACCTTTCAGCATTTCATATAATACTGGTTTGGTGGTGATGAACTCCTTTAGCTTTTCCTTATCTGTGAAGCTCTTTATCTGACCTTCAATTTTGAATGATAGCTTTGCTGGATAAAGTAATCTTCGTTGTAGGTTCTTGGCATTCATCACTTTGAATATTTCTTGCCACTCCGTTCTGGCCTGCAAAGTTTCTGTTGAGAAATCCGCTGACAGTCGTATGGGTATTCCCTTGTAGGTAACTGAGTTTCTTTCTCTTGCTGCTTTTAAGATTCTCTCTTTGTCTTTTGCTCTTGGCATTTTAATTATGATGTGTCTTGGTGTGGTCCTCTTTGGATTCCTTTTGTTTGGGGTTCTCTGTGCTTCTTGGACCTGTAAGTCTATTTCTTTCACCAGGTAGGGGAAGTTTTCTGTCATTATTTCTTCAAATAGGTTTTCAATATCTTGCTCTCTCTCATCTTCTGGCACCCCTATAGTTCTGATGTTGTTACACTTGAAGTTGTCCCAGAGGCTCCTTACACTATCTTCGTATTTTCAGATTCTTTTTTCATTTTGCTTTTCCGGTTGGGTGTTTTTTGCTTCTTCACATTTCAATTCTTTGACTTGATTCTTGCACTCCTCTGGTCTGCTGTTGTGTGTCTGTATAATATTCTTTATTACAGTCAGTGTATGCTTAATTTCTAGTTGGTTCTTTATCACAACATCGAGGGTCTCATTAGATTTCTTGAGGATCTCACTACATTTATAGGCAGTTTTTAGAAACTTATTGAAAGACCTTAAAAGTGTGGTTTTGAGCTCTATATCTTCCATTTCTGACATCTGCGTCCTGTTTCTTTGTCTCCGCATTTTTTATGCTTTCTTAGTGCAACCCCTAGTGGTCTTTATGCGCAGTCTTGTTGTAGTTAAGCCTTGATTGTTGTAGGTAATACTGGCGGGGATTTGACCTCCAGGCCAACTGGCTGTGAGAATCAGCTGTGTCAGCAGTGAGAGAACTTCTGTCTTCTAGGGAGGTGCTAATCTAGCCTTTGCCTGAGGCTATCCGGCAAATGCCTCTGTGCAGGGCTTGGGCGGGGCAGGTCTCACGGGATCAACAGGGTGTGCTGGAGAGAGCAGTTATGGCTGCTCTCAGTCCAGTCCCCAGGGGCTCTGCCTCTCTGAGTCCCAGCAACCGCTGCAAACCTCGGAGAGAAAGCTGCCTTCGAGTTCCGACCGAAGCCAGACAGTCCCGCTTCTCCTGTTTGAGTCTGGGTCCCTAAAGACTCGCCCAGATCTGGAGCTCAGAGTCTGCGACTCCCTCCTGATTGAAAACGCCAACAGTGCCCTCAGCCACCAGCCCGCTCTGCCTGCACTCCGCACCTTAGTATTTGACTTCAGCACTGCGCCTCCTCTGAGTCGCAGTATGCGTTTCTCTTTCCTCCTAGTTGTAGGACTTCCACTCAGCCAGCGTTCCTGTGGTTCTGGGTGATGTCCATTCTGTCTGTTAGTTGTTTTGTTTGAAGTGGTTGTTCGAGGCAGCTAACTCTGGTGTTAACCTATGCCGCCATCTTGGTTCCTGTATTTTATTTTTTATTTCCATAATAAATTTACTTATAAGGTTTTATGATCTGTGATTTTTTTTATTTTTTTAAAATCCTCACTTGAGGATATTTTTCCATTGATTTTTTTTTTTTAAGAGACAGTAGAAGGCAGGGAGGAAGGGGAGAGAGAGAGAGAAACATCGATGTGAGAGAGACACATTGATTGATTGCCTCCTGCATACTCCCTGACCAGGGCCAGGAATCGAGCCTGCAACCAAGGTATATGCCCTTGACCGGGAATCAAACCCAAGATCCTTCAGTCTGAGGGCTGACTTTCTAATCACTGAGCAAACCTGGGCAAGGCTGTGATTTTTTTCAATTATAGTTTACATTCAATATCATTCTGTATCAGTTTCAGATGTATAACATAGTGGTTAGACAATCATATACTTTACCGAGTCCCCCCCTCCCCCCAATGAAGGGATAAAGAAGTACAAATTGGTAGCCACAGAATAGTCACAGAGATATAAAGTACAGATAGGGAATATAGTCAATAATATTGTAATAACTATGTATGGGACAAGGGGGGGTCCTTGAAATATCATATAATTTCCATTTTAGTATATGTCCCAATGAAGTGAACAATTCAACTTTTCGAGTGAGCATCAACTAGGGTGAATACATTGGGTTATGGTCTCTTTGTACAACTTGCTCTCCTAAGATTATCTTGGTTATAAGGTCAAATTTACCGCATAGCAAGCTTCACACTCCTGGTGAGTTTACCAGCTCAAAGGAGGCACTCACCTGTATGACTCATATTTTTCCACCCTAGGCAATTCCCGGTAGATGTTACTTTCAAGGTCTTCGATGGAATCCAAGAAAACTGACAGCTTTTCCTGAATGGGAACCTTTTCTGCTATCATTTTGATATTTAAACCAATGTAATTCAAGGTCCTTTTGACAGCTGGAAACAAAAACACGTCAGTCATGCATTCCTAGAGGAAACAGAAGCTTTGTTTGGGCACCAAAATGGGAAAAACTTGAACCACTTTCACTTTTTCCCATGTTATGTGTGCACTTGAAGTATGAAAAGTTCTGCACCAAGCGGGAATGTAGCCAAGACCAGCAAAAAGCAATTACTTAACAAAACAGCAGGCTAGGGGCATGGACTTTGATGATATGGTGCTGAAATCAAGCCAGAGTTTTCTTCCTACTTATTTTATTTTACCCATTTTATTTATTTATTTTTTTATTGTTTAACTTATTTTTTTTAAGAGTCAGATAATTAAAATGTACTGTGTACCTACCCCAGGCCAGGCACTTTTATCAATATTAACTCATTTATTTCACTGAGATAGATATGCTTATTCCCATTTAATACCAGTGACCCTGGGGCTCATAGATGTTAAATACTTGCCCATATGTCTTTTTCAGAAAGCACTGGAAATGGAGCTTATCTAACTCTACAGCTTCTGTTAAGTGACTTCTGGAAAACAACTTCATAACCTAACATTTCCTTCCACTATGTGCCGGCATCAGAAACACACCAACTCTCTGGGGCTGAAGTTGTGAACAAGGGACTCCAGGTGATATTTTTGTTAAATTTTTGTGTGGCTCATGCAAACTGAGCCTTGTAAAAGCACATCTGTGTTTGCTACATGCAAAAAGCAAGAATATCCCCAGTGGTCAAACAGTCCTCGTTCATCTCCACCCTAGCCTTTCAGAGAGGAGGTTAAGTTCTAGCTTTCTGGAAAGTGTGGGTAATGGCTGGTCGAGAATAAAGTCCACCTGGGGTGCAGGGTGTCCCCTGGCCTGACATTCTCACAAGGTATACTGAGAACAGACAAGGCACTTAAAATCCTGACCCTGCGATCTCCACAGCAGCCAAGACAAGGTGCACAGTTCTCTCGAGGCCATCTGGGTCTCCTGGTGAATTCTGGGTAGATGGGAGCATGGTCCAAAATGGAACTACATAAAAGTGGTGGGAACCTTTTTCAAAGTGTGTTGCTCACAATATCACTGCATGTGGCTCAATGCCTCCTGCAAACAGCTTGCGTGCGAAAAGCCCCAGGATCCTCGGCGAGGTGACTCCATGGGCCTCTTTTTACCTCTGGGATTTCTGGGAGTCAGACAGATGAGATCTATGGACTCCCCCTCTCCTATGGATGGTTCCCGAAACTAAGAAGTGGGCCCCTGTCTGCCTCCCAAGCTGTCCTGCCCTGTCACGCTGCACAGCTCCCCAGCCTTGCGAGCTCCGGTGCCCTCTCTTAGCAAATACCTCCTTTAGGCCTCAGAAGTCGCTTCCTCTAGGAAGTCTCCCATCAGCCTCGCCCCACCCCCACAGACCTCAACATGTCATCAGAGTGTGATGAGCAGCACCTGTACACATGCCCAGCCAAAAGGCAGCAGTGGCCAGGCCTTAGTCACTTCCCATCTCAGAGCCCAGCAGAAACCTGGCACACAGTAGGCGCTTAAACAGTGTGCGCAGGACAGGACCAAATGGTCAAACCAGGGGAGCTGAGGGTTTCTATTTGTTTTGGATGAGCAGTTAATACTCCAGCTGACGAAGTGGCGCTCGCCTGGACCTGGGAAAACTCTGGCTTGTGTTTAGGCAACGATGGTGCGTGCAATGGGCCTCGCTCACGCACTCCACACACCCCGCTTTGCCAGACTTACAGGGGAAGCTGCATGGATTGGCAGGAGAGGTCCAGGAAGGGGAGGCAGAGAAAGTAAACAGAGATCAGTAAGTACGTGGCTATCAGAGGTATGGCATTGGTCAGCCTTAGGATGCTGGCATAGCAAAGCGTGACTTTGTCTTTAACATCGGAGTATTTTTAGGTGAAATATTAGAATGAACACAAAAAAGAAAACCCACAGGGCATCTAAAGCACTATATAGTGGGGGAAAAAATTTTTTTAAAACCACAAGTCTTAATGGGTTGAAAGAATAGTATTAGAAAAAAAAATCAAGTACCTCTAACACAATATTTCAAACTACTTGGTCAACAGATAAATAGAAGGACTGAGAAAATGATTTGTTTAAAAGAGAAGATAGTTGGCCTGCCCAGTGTGGCTCAGTGGTTGAGCAATGACCCTTGAGCCAGGAGGTCAAGATTAGATTCCTGGTCAGGGCTCATGCCCAGGTTGCTGTGGGCTCGATCCCCAGTAGGGGGCGTCAGGACGCAGCTGATCAATGATTCTCATCACTGATGTTTCTATCTCTCTATTCTTCTCCCTTCCTCTCTCTAAAATCAATAAAAATATATTTAAAAATAAAAATAAAAGAGAAGATAGTCTTACACAGCTTCAGAGATGTCTCCTCTTAGCAGACAACCCAGGTTTACGCCTACCCTAACCTCAATATAACGTGATTCAATCATTCGCAACCAGTAGAATTCACTCAACCTCAGTCTGTCTCTCCAAACTGTGAGCGACCTTCAGAATCTAAATACCATTACGTCAGCATCAGAAGACAAATAAACATCTCCAAAGACAAAATAAATCGTTATACATAGTATTCTTTTAAAAAAATATCAATTTTAAGTTCTTTTGGGAAATATAATAATCTACAGCTTTTGCCCCAGTGATAACAACCAGAATGTGACTCCAAACTTTGGCTTCTGGTGGCTGTGATAGCTCACCCTGAGGGCTCATCACTGCAGTGTGCCCCTCAGCCAGGCAGCTTCCCGCCAGCAGGGGGCGATGTCAATCTGTGCTCATACGAGGATTATTATTTTTTAAGTCAATGTCAATTGTGAATTTGGTGCCATCAAAAACTCTGATATTCCTTTAGTTTTCTAGGTCTTAGTGAGAGAACATTTTTTTCAAAATATATTTCATTGATTTTTTTACAGAGAGGAAGGGAGAGGGATAGAGAGTTAGGAACATCGATGAGAAAGAAACATTGATCAGCTGCCTCTTGCACACTCCCTACTGGGGATGTGCCCACAACCAAGGTACATGCCCTTGACCAGAATCGAACCTGGGGACCCTTGAGTCCGCAGGCTGATGCTCTATCCACTGAGCCAAACCGGTTAGGGCGAGAGAACATTTTTTAAGAGGGAAAGAGAACAATGGAATTCTTAGTAGATTTCTTTGTGCTAACCACCAATGCTTAATGAGGAGCGATACAAAATTATTTCAGTCTGTGACTCACCTGGTATTATTTCCGTGGTTTGTTTTTGCAGTCTCTCGGGTATATTATTAATGGATTGATAGCTCTAAAAAACAGTTCAAAATAAATTGATGTGCACAGTAAGTAGAACACCAGGGACCGGTACTCATTTAGCACACAGCAGAAAAGCAAAATCCACATGTAACATTTACCTTAAGGTGGAAATTATCATTATGTGGCCATTAAAAGTCTCAAAAGATTCCCCATAGAGGGGACTTGCTTTCAACTGTACCCATCGAAGATTACGCTAAAAGTTTTTAACTTTTCACTTTTAACTCATGTTAAGTTTCCATGTATCTACACCATACCAGTGTCTCTCAAATGGGGACAATGCTGTCCCCCAAGGAGACATGTGGCAATGTGTAGAGACATTTTGGTTGTCACAGCTGAGAGGTGCTGCTGGCATTGTGCAGGGCGGGGTGAGGGTGCTCATAAATACCTTGCAATGCATAGGAACAGCCCCCACTGCAAGGAATTTCCCAGCCCCACACATCCGTATGCTGAAGTTAGGAAACCCTGATCCATACAATGCACCGTGTGCAGATGCAGATTCACAGATAACCCATATCTGCGAATTTCTAAAATAGCATCTTCTTTTCCATGCAATCACAACATGAAACTGGGGGTCTAGGCTCACAGAAAACAATAATGTCCTTAAAGCCCAGCTTCTGGAGAATACACATTGTAGTGAGGCAAAAACAAGAACGAAGACAGCCTTGCCCAGCCAGGTTGCTTAAAGGCTAAATCCGGGGCAGGAAAATGTCTTTATTTCCCAAGTCACTCAAGGAACTATCCAGCCTCTTCCATGGAAGGGGCTTAACTTGTGTTTCTGTGTGTCAACTGGTGTGTGTTGCCACCTGCCTGGGAGCACTACAGAGATTGTAACCTGTTGTGAATGCAAGGTCTGTGTCCCCCCCTAAAATGCAAATGTTGAAATCCCTCCCCCAGAGTGATGGTATTAGGAGGTGGGTCTCTGGGGGTGATGAAGTCAAGAGAGTGGATCCCCTTGAATCAGGTTGGGGCCCTTATACAGGAGCCCCAGGGAGCTCTCTGCCAGGTGAGGAAAAGGACCCAGTGAGAAATGACCGCCTGCCACCTGGACAGGTCTCTCACCGGATCCCGGACATACCGGCATTCTGATGGCAGAATTCCCGCCACCAGAACTGGGAGAAATAAATGTCTGCCGTGAACAGCTGCCCAGCCTATGATGCTCTTTTATGGCAGTGCAATCCAAGATGTAAACTTCGTGAGGTTTAGGGTGCCCCCATGTTCCACCGCAGCCTAGCAGCATCGATGACATAAAACAACATCCCAACTGAATCTCACTGCTTTTCTTCTGTTACCTGTTTTCATACGCATCAGTCTGCTCGTTAAAATAAGCTACTGTATGTTTCCCAGATAACATACCATTTGGACCAGGCTGGATAGATTTGTCTGAAGAACACCATTGACGTTATTAATTTCGTTATCCAACAATCTGAGCTGAAATGTGTAAGACAAAACATAAGGCAAGGTGGTTACCCCCAAATCACTTGTCATCTTATATCCAAGTTCCAAGCCTCTATATTATAGGGTATGATCTATATTTTTTGGAACAACAGAGTATTGTGTGGGGAAAACACATTTAGCACAGAATGGCCTGTATCAAGCACTAATTTTAGATGGGGGAGGTCTCCTGCCTCAGGAGGGAAAGAAATTGAACACAGACTGAATAGGTGTGACCTCAGATTTTAGGTACTGAATTTCCTATATAATAAAGATGTAATATGCAAATGGTCATTACACCGCGAAGTGTAATGACCGACCGTGGAATGACTGGATCACGGATCAGCAGGAGGGTGGGGCAGTGAGACACAAGTGGGCAGTGGAGAGCTATAGGAGGGGACAGGGCAGCAAGCTATGAAGGGGTCGGGGGGAACTACTGGAGGGCAGCAGTGAGCTACTGGCTAGCTACTGGTGCACGGATTCATGCGCAGGGCTACTAGTTGTTGAATAAACAATCTTTTCAAAAACACATTTAAAAGTAATACAATCCGTGGTTCTCTTGGTGCATGATCTGGAATAAATTTTTCATTTTACATCATGCATAGATTTAAAGTGTCCTATCTCTTACCAATACCAAGACAAATATCCTGTACCTCCCGACACGGTATACCGAAGACACAGTATCACTTTTGTGATATCCTGACAAATGTGCATACTTTAAATCTAATCATGAGGAAACATCAGACAAATATAAATTGAAGGTCATTCTGTATAATGCCTGTAGTCTTAAAAAATGTCAATGTAGTCCTAGCTGGTTTGGCTCAGTGGATAGAGCGTCGGCCTGCAGACTAAAGGATCCCAGCTTCACCTCCAGTCAAGGGCACATGCCTGGGTTGCGGGCTTGATCCCCAGTAGGGGGCGTGCAGGAGGAAGCCGATCAGTGAATCTCTCTGATCATTGATGTTTCTATCTCTCTCTCTCCTTCTCCCTTCCTCTCTGAAATCAATAAAAATATATATTTTTTAAAATGTCAATGTCATAAGAAAAAGATAGACTCAGACACTGTCTCAGATTGAAGAAACTAAAGAAACGTGAAAACCAAAGCCCACATGTGATCCTGACTGGACCTTAGACTGAAATGAGAAAAAAATGCATTTTGAGAAAAATTGGCAAAATCTGAATATACACTGTAGGTTTGATGGTAGGATTAGGTCAATGGTATATGTCCTCACGTTGATAATGGTATTACTTGCTATGTAAGGTCAGGAAATATTTAGGGGTAAAAGGGCATAATGCCTGCAACTTTCCTGCAAACAACTGAGAAGAGAACAAAATGCCTATCATTTTATGCATATCCTAGAGGCCCGATGCATGAAGATTCATGCAAGAATAGGCCTTCCTTGTCCTGGCTGCCGGCATCGCCTTTGCTCTGGCCCGGAGTCGCCTTTCGGCCTTCCCATACTGCCCAGAGGCCCAGAGCGGCTGGGGTGGTGCGGAATGCCTGCGTCGTTGTCATGGCAATGTCCCGGCCTGGCCGTTGCCATCTTTGTCACGTCAATTTGCATATTCCCTCCTTATTGGCTGTGGACTCCACCATCTTTGTCGTGAAGTGATGGTCAATTTGCATATTCCATCTTTATTAGATAGGATATGACAATATACCTAGACAGATGATAGATACATAAGTAGATAAATGGATAAAATGATATGATCAAGCAAATGGAGCCAAATGTTGACGACTTGTGGATCTGGGTAAAGGGTGTAGACAGGGGTTCCTGGCACCATTCTAGCAGTCTTTCTGCATGTTTGAAAATATACCAGAATTAATCATTTCCCCCAAAAAGGAGTCAATTTAAATGCCAGTACAGATCCTGAGCTCTAAAAGACTGTTTGATGACGACGAAAGTGACTGTAGTAGCTATGAAGACACAGATGCTGGACGTGAAGTGTGTAAGTAAAACTGATGCATAAAATATGAAAATGAGAAAAATGTAGCTAAATTAAAATATTGATTTATGCCAATGTGGTGTGTATCTATATCACTATCTCAATAAATTAAAGACCATGAGCAGATATGATTATTTTATCTATATCCCAGAACTTTATAAATTCAAGTTGCTCCAAATTCTTTTACCTAATCTTTTCTTTGGGATTATGAGAAATTACTTTATATTTAGGCACATGTAATCACTATACCAGGCACATAATCCCAAAATACATTTTAGCTTTTAAAGGTCTATAAAAATGCATTCTAGACAAGTGCTGGTGAGGATGTGGAGACAAAGGAACCCTCTTGCACTGCTGGTGGGAATGCAGACTAGTGTAGCCACTGTGGAAAACAATATGGAGTTTCCTCAAAAAATTAAAAATGGAGCTCCCATTTGACCCAGTAATCCCACTTCTAGTAATATATCCAAAGAAATCAGAAAACACCAATCAGAAAGGATATATGCACCCCTATGTTCATAGCTAAGATTTGGAAACAGCCTAAGTGCCCATCAGCAGGTGAGTGGATTAAAAGGCTGTGGTACATCTACACAATGGAATACTACACTGCAGTAAAAAAGAAGGAATTCTTATCATTTGCAATAGCATGGATGGAACTGGAGAACATTATGCTAAGCAAAATAAGCCAGTCAGAGAAAGATAAATATCACATGATCTCACTCATTTGTGGAATATAATGAACAACATAAACTGATGAACAAAAACAGAGCCAGAGACATAGAAGCATTGAACAGACCGTCCAACCCAAGAGGAAAGGCAGGGGAGTTGGGGGTGAGAGATCAACCAAAGGACTTGTATGCATGCATACGAGCATAACCAAAGGACACAGAAAGTAGGGGAATGGGAGTGGCTGGGGAGAGGTCAATGGGGGAAAAGGGAGACTTATGTAATACTTTAAACAACAAAGAATTTTTTAAAAAATGCATTCTGCTTCCTTTTCTTTTTTTAAAGTTGAGTTCATTTTCCTGTTTTTTCCAACAAGACAACTCTCAAGGGGGGGGGCTTCCTACTACTTCTTCCCTCACTGCGGCCATTCCAGTGGTGATCAGGTGCCAGAAAGATGGACAGAACCCAGGTGCTGTGCATGGGGGCAGGCACCCACGTGGAGCCCTGCCCAGATGCCCAAAGACCCTGCCTCGCACACGACGAGGTCACCCCCTCACCTGGCCCAGGTAGGTGTTGTTGTCCAGCTGGTCCAGAGACATTCTGATGGAGTTGCACCTGGCACGCTGGGTGGGTTCAGAGCACACGGGGTCCTTGAGGGACTGCTCCAGGTCTCTTTTCACCTCCCGCAGGAGTCTGTAGATCTCTTCGGGTGATTTCTTTAACTCCCATAAGTTTCTGTTCACAGACACCAGGAGTACTTTGGTGTCTCTGATCTCTGTGGGAACATAGTCCACTTCAGGGCAGAGGCACCCACAGGCTGCTGCGGCAGTACGTTTCCCATCTACAAACCTCCTAAGTGCTCCTGGGAATGCCCCCCTCATCCCCTCCCACCCCCCAGGAGCCTGCCACTGCTGGCTCCTCCGCCAGCCCCTGTGACCAGCTCAGCCTTCCCGCTTGGGGAACTCGATGGGGACATCTGGATGTGGCAGTAACCACTGGACAGGGCGTGGCAACCTCAGGAAAAGGTGTTGCTGCCCCAGAATCACCAGGCCTTGAAGAGGCCAGCCCAGCCCCAGCCGACGTGGCTCAGTGGTTAAGTGTCGACTTATGAACCAGGAGGTCACGGTTTGATTCCTGGTCAGGGCACATGCCCTGGTTGCATACAGGAGGCAGTAGATCAATGATTCTCTCTCATCATTGATGTTTCTACCTTTCCTTCCCCCTTCCTATCTCTGAAACCAATAAAATTTGTTTCTTTTAAAAGAGGCCAGCCCAGACCAGCTAGCATCTCCACCCCTGAGCAGTTTTCACCCACCTTATGCTGTGGCTAGTCAAAGAGCTGGAAGAAAGTGCAGAGGAACAGGGAAGAGTATGGTTTTGGATTCAGGCAGGTCTGGGTGCAGACCCGAGCTTCCCTATGCACAGGTCGTGTAACTAGAAGCTGAATCCTAAACATTTTGCCGGCAGTTTCCTCAAATGCTGACACCGCCACCATGCTCATCAGGAAATGTGGGGATCAGAAGGACCCGACTGAACCTCCTTGATGGCAGGAAGACCGTCTGTCTTATTTTAGGGGCCCCGCAGCTTGGAACACATCCTTAGACATGGAAATCCCTAATACCTGTTTGTAACCCTGATTTCTCTGGTGCGCAGAGCTCCGCACTCATCACCAGGGAAGTAGCAGATTACAACTCTTTTCACAGTGACTTACTGCCCCAGAAGGACAAGGTGGTGAATTTAAATAGAGGGCATGCTCTTCTTCTGAGCGAGTAGGTCTTCCAGGCTCACAAAACACATAGCGGAGCTGCATGCGGGGGTTGCTAGGAAAGGGGGAACGCCCTTGAAAATGTGTTATTCCAACTTCCTGGGCTACCACATGAGCGTGAGTGCTAAAACAACAACAACAACAAACACACACACACACACACACACACACTTTAAAGCTTCCATGTGATAGAATCAAAAGTAGTCTGAGGTCTCATCTGATCCCAGTTCTGCTCCTACCGTGTAACAGCACCCCTGGCAAACTCCCCCACCTCTGGGGGCCTCTGTTTCCTCGTCTGTAATGGAGGAGGCTGGTTGGGTCATCTCCTGGTCCCTAGGAGAGTCTGTCATTCTACGCTGTGCCCTAGCAGGTTTGCCCTTAGGAGATGGCATTGCCCATGTCTCCATGTTGGAACCTCAGCTTTGATGAGACCTGGGAGGCTTCCAGGGTGGGACTGTATGACCCTGGGTCCCATCTCCTCATCGGCACAGCAAACCTTAAAGTCTGTTCCACACAATCTTCTCTCTTGAATGGTGCTCCCAGTGCAGCAGAACAACATTTGAGGTTATCACAATATTTAAGACTTTATCGGTTTCTCATCTCTGGGCCTCGGTGTCTCGTGTCTTCCACCTCCCTCCCAGAATTGTCAGCAAAGGATAGAGCTGGGACCTGCTCACATTAGAGGCTCAATAAACAGCTACCATAGCAAAACAAGAAACAAAGAACACGGCTGCCACTAGAAACACACAACAGAAAGCACACGAGCACACCCAAACACATTCACATCACACAACACACACACACACACACACACACACACACACACACACACACACACACCTCTTGTCTTCACGTTGTGTGGTTAATTAACCCTCACGGTTTACCTGCACACTTTGGCTTCAAGAAAAGTTATTTTAAGGCAAGAAGCAAATGACAACAACAAAAAGTTATGGATGGTAACATAAACTGGTGGCCCAGAGAACACGTGTCCGGCGGAGCACCATCCATAGACATTCTGGGTTACAGGAAACATTCTGAGGACTGAGGTATAAATATACATATTTTTTCCCAGGGTTTTGAGGCATTTTTATGTCTGTAAAACATCCAGTGGGTTAGAACTCTGGGAGTCATGCCAGGCCTGCCAAGATCACCCACATCATGTATCTGAAGTGAGTGAAAGAGATTTCAGGTTCTCCACGTTAGTTCATTAACATTTTGCCAGCTCACAGTACACTGCCTTTACAGATCCCGATGGGCAGCTCAGATGTGATTTGCTCAAATAACTTTGCATGTTCCTGCTCTCTCCAGAGGCTACTAAATGCGTAAGGCTGCGGCGAACGTTTAGAAAAAATATTGCTGAAGCAGTTTATTAAGCACATTTTAAACAGCCCAGGCAACACCCAAGGCTAAAGGTTCACTTATTTGGCCCGGCTACACAATAATAGGACTTTAATACTTTAATACCAATACATGAGGCACTGGAGAGGAAAATGAATGTGTTTTAATTGCCTTTGATCCAAAGAGAATTACAATTCAAATATTAAAACTTGGCCAAACCACGGGGCAAAAGTCAGGTTCCCCGCCAACCACGTGGCATTGTTCATCTACTTTAAAATATATATAAATATATATAAAGTATATATATATATATATTATTGATTTCAGATATATCAAGGAGGGGTATCCATCCTGTGTCCTTCCTGCCCTTGTCCCACTCCTGCTCTCGGCCACTCAGGGTGTGGCACCTGGAGAATCACTCTGACCAGGAATCAAACTGTGACCCTCCTGATTCATAGGTTGATGCTCAACCACTGAACCACGCCGATGGAGCCATTCAGAGTTTGGGAGCTGGAAGAGATTTTGACAGATAAATATTCCAAATGCACAGCTCACGAAGGGCGTGGGACACAGGGACACCTGGTGTCCTCCCGTGGCCACACCAGTTCTTGACTCCACATTCCTATCTCTTCCTCCCGTGACACTGTGAGGTCTGGCCCTGGGCAGTGTGGAACAACCCTACATCTTCACACTCCGAGTGGACCCAAACACCATCTGGGCTGGTCCGGGCAACACAGGCTTTATAACCAGACTGGGGTCTGAGTCCCAGCTCCACCTCTTCCCAGCACCCTGACCTTGAACTAGATAAACCATCTCTGGGCCTTACTGTACTGAGCTGGTAAAAGGCAGGTGACGGCAGCCACCCACAGAGTTGTGAGCACCTGGCACATAGCACAGACAGTTTCTCAACACCTGGAAGGGCCTGGGAGGTTGTTTTGTAAGTTGCAGTTTATTAAAAATCAGTATATCTGTTCACATACACTGTCGACTGTGGTGACTTTGAATATATTATGTATATTTTCACTTTACAGAACTTGTTCTTTCCGGGGCAAAGGAAAGAGATTAATCAAGCCGGTCTGGTGTAGCTCAGTGGTTAAACATTGGCCTATGAACCAGAAGTTCACGGTTCGATTCCCAGGCGGGGCACATGCCTGGGTTTTGGGCTTGATTCCCAGTGGGGGGTGAGGGGGGGGGGCTTGCGGGAGGCAGCAGATTGATGATGTTTCTATCTCTCTATCTTTCTTCCTTCTTCTCGCTCTAAAAATCAATAAAAACTGTTTGTTTGTTTTTAAAAAAGGAGTAATTAATAGACCCCCAAACATAAAATTCCATGGGCTACTCATCTTCAATAGCAGCGGCCAACTAGCTTTTCTGGGAAGTTTAGACAGTAAATCTTGCATGCTCCGTGGGCGCCGGGCCCCTGCGGTAACCACCTCCGCCACCCTGGAGAGAATGCAGCCACTGATGTTGCCCAAACCACTGAGCTTACCTGCATCCCAATAACGTCACCAACAGAAACAGGCGCCTGTCCCTGTCCATCTGCCACTATTGTTTCAAGTGGCCTGTAGGCCATCAGTACGATGACCATGACACAAGCTTTAAAAAAGCATCATATGGAGGAGAGGTCAATGGAAAAAAAAGGGGGGGAGGGGGGGTGGACATACGTAATACTTTCAACAACAAAGATTTAAAAGAAAAAAAAGGAGAAAAAAATGAAACATTCTTATTATGCCCAATCTGCCACTAGTATGCCCTGTGTTTTGGAACAGCACAGGTGGTGGCAGTCGCCCCAGGTGACCAGAGGGAAACCCAGGAGAGGGAGAGGGAGCCTGGGAAGCCCGAGCCTTCGGGGGAACATTCCCTCCGTCACTTCGGCCCGTCACAGCACTCACCTTCTGCCATGGCCTCGACGTCATCAAGAACAGGGATCGTTTTAAGTTTTACGTGTTCCTGAATGTCGCCTCCTAGCAAGGTCTTAATATCTAAATGCAAACAGGCATAAGGGAGTGTGAGGGGTGCCCCGTGTCCTTCCTGCCCATGTCCCACTCCTGCTCTCGGCCATGCAGGGTGTGGCGCCTGGAGAATCACCTTTGGTTTCTCCCCCTGTGAATGGCCCTGAGGCCTCGGCCAGACCAAGGTCCCTCAACCGTGGCACCATTGCCATGAGAGGTTGCATAGTTCTTTGCTGAGGAGGCTGCTGGCTGTTTGTTCTGTGCATTGTGGGATTTGTAGTGGCATCCTTGGTCTCTACCAACCGAGGCCAGTACCCCTGCCGACCCCCCTCACCCAGTTGGACAACCAGAAATGTCACTGGATGTTGCCAAACGTGGCCAGGAGCACACAGCCCCAGGCTGAGAACCACTGCGCAAGGCTGCATGGGAGCTGCCTGTGGGCATGCAGGGAGGAGTGGGCTCCCCCCGCCCCCCACGCCCCCAGCTTCTCCGGGGCCTGTTTCTATCTTCAACAAGGAACCTGACACCCGTGGGGCATGGAGGATGGGCCCTTGTGGCTACAATGAAATAACAGCCTTCTCACCGTAAAGGCTCGGTTTCCACCCTGAGCAACACACTGCAAACTGGCACTAACTCTAGGGAAGGACTTTTCCGTTTTCCCCTCCTTTCGCACAGAAATTGGAGAAACAGCATAGTTCACCTGCGTCTGTGTTTTATGGGAGGTGGCCGTCGCAACCTCCAGCAAAACAAGCTCACACGAAAAACTCGAGGCAACTGGAAATGTCACTTACTGTCCAGATCTGAGATGGCCTTTTCCTTTGTGGTGGTGTACTGGTCCAGCACATAGTGCATTTGCTAAAATAAAATAAATAAAATACAGATGATGTGTTATAGAATTGTACACCTGAAACTTCTATACATTTATGAACCAAGGCCACCGCAATAAATTCAGTAAAAATAAATACAATAACATGAAACTTTCTCATCTAAAGTCCAAAGCCACAATAAGAAAAAAAAAAAGAGAGATCTAACATACAAAAATTATCCCGAATCTGGCTGGTATGGCTCAGTGATTGAGCATCAACCTATGAACCAGGAGGTCACAGGTTCAATTCCCGGTCAGGGCACATGCCCAGGTTTCGGGCTCCATCCCCAGTGTGGGGCGTGCAGGAGGCAGCCAACCAATGGTTCTCTCTCATCAAGGATGTTTCTATTTCTCTCTCCCTCTCCTTTCCTCTCTGAAATGAACAAAAATATTTTTAAAAATTACCTTGAACCAGAACATTTTTAAAAAAGAAAGTAGATTCTTGGAGATGTTTACATTTTCTAACACCCAGACTTGTTAATGACACTCCAACGCGTGTTAGCGTAAGAAACATGGTTCCGCCCTAACTGGTTTGGCTCAGTGGATAGAGCATCGGCCTAAGGACTGAAGGGTCCCGGGTTCGATTCTGGTCAAGGTCATGTACCTTGGTTGCAGGCACATCCCCAGTAGGGGGTGTGCAGGAGGCAACTGATCAATGTTTCTCTCTCATCGATGTTTCTAACTCTCTATCCCTCTCCCTTCCTCTCTCTGTAAAAAATCAATAAAATATATTAAATTAAAAAGAAAGAAAGAAAGGAAGGAAGGAAGGAAGGAAGGAAGGAAGGAGGGAGGGAGGAGGAAGGAGGAAGGAGGAAGGAGGAAGGCAGGAAGGAAGGGAGGAAGGAAGGAAGGAAGGAAGAAGGAAGGAAGAAGGAAGGAAGAAGGAAGGAGGGAGGGAGGGGGGGGAGGGAGGAGGGAGGAGGAGGAGGAAGGAAGGAAGGCCACTGCAGGCGGACTTGAGGGGAGGACGGCAGGAAGGACGCCGGACCTTCCGACAGGAAGGCCGAGCCGCACTCCAACCGACGAAGCCGGCAACATCAAGCCCAATCCAGCCCGCAAGACCGCAGAAGATTCCTTTAGTTCTCAGGATGCTGGGCAGTGGCTCTGTGGCTGGTCGGGCCGGGACCACATGGCTGGAACACGGGGGCTACTCCCTCCACGTGGCCTCTCATTTCTCCAGCGTTCAGCCTGGGTGTTTTCACTGTGGTCCGGGCAGTGAGAGAACGGGGCGGGAGGCTCGGGGCTGTGGGAAGCATAAGCCTGGCACAAGGTTACGTCTGTCTGTCTGCTGAGTTCTTTTGGTCACAGCAAGTCTCAGAGGTAGCGTGGGTTCGACGGGTGTGAACAGTCCCGCCTCTGGAAGTTTTTAACTTTTCATTGCAACCAAGGTACATGACCTTGACCAGAATCAAACCCGGGACCCTTCAGTCCTTAGGCCGATGCTCTATCCACTGAGCCAAACCAGTTAGGGCGGAACCATGTTTCTTACGCTAACACGCGTTGGAGTGTCATTAACAAGTCTGGGTGTTAGAAAATGTAAACATCTCCAAGAATCTACTTTCTTTTTTAAAAATTTTCTGGTTCAAGGTAATTTTTAAAAATATTTTTGTTCATTTCAGAGAGGAAGGGAGAGGGAGAGAGAAATAGAAACATCCCTCTGAAAGGGAGGGATGGGAGAGAATCTGGGGCCACCGGGCACCTGCCACACCAGGGCCCCTGTATCCAGGGCTGGTCCTGAGCTGCCTGTGAGCGTGCTTGCTCTATCTTGGTGTCCTGGCGGCCTCCCCCCACACCCTCACCCATACCCTCACCCTATGCTGCTCTGTTAAGTAACTGCCGCCAACCTCCTCATTGTGTCAGGTTTGTTGTGTGTGTGTTTTTTATATATATTTCATTAATTTTTTACAGAGAGGAAGGGAGAGGGATAGAGAGTTAGAAACATCGATGAGAGAGAAACATCGATCAGCTGCCTTCTGCACACCCCCTACTGGGGATGTGTCCACAACCAAGGTACATGCCCTTGATGGGAATCGAACCTGGGACCCTTGAGTCCGCAGGCCGACGCTCTATCCACTGAGCCAAACCCGTTAGGGCAAATGTGTCAGTTTTTAACTTTTCATTCCTCCAGCTGCTAGAGCAAGGGTAAATACCTCACTGTTCGGGGCCAGGCATGTTTCCTCTGCAAAATGACTATACATTTTCTGCTCTGTTTTTTAAAGCCTTCTTTAAAGCTCTTCCCTAAAAGTCCTAACAATTCACTACCCTCCCAAGTTTCTGAAAGCAACCCCAACGTGCACCAGCCACGACTGCTACGTATTTAATTTCGCCAACATTTTAGGGGGAAAAGGGTTCACTTTGTAGTCTTTAGAGTGACAGGTGAAAATGTTATGAATTTTTGTTCACAGATTGGGGAAATGAAACACTTGCCTCTGTGTAATGCTGTCAAGTGATGGATAAAATTAGCTTCTCTAATCTCTATATTTACAAATGCTTTTTAGGTCCAACCACATATTTAAAAACTGATACAGTATTTAACGTGAGTGCTTCTCAGGCTGCACTAGAGGCGAAGAGCACCTGCTGTGTGAGGACACAGAGGGTTCTGCGGGCTCCCATGACCAAATCCAATGTGCGCTCGCTTCTCTCCAGCTGGGACCCGGAGCTCAGCGACGTATTTGAGGGCTAATGTCTGCTCATTTTGTAAATCAATGTTCTGAAAAGGCAAGTCAACCATGTGTTACTGGGACATAGAAAAAAGGTGTCTTTGGGCATCATGATCCTGGTCCCCAAAGACAACGTGTGTGTGTGTGTGTGTGTGTGTGCAGGTACACATACCTGTGGGTCCACTCCCCAATCTATACAGATATTAGCAAGTAGATGTTTATAAAGAACAAAGGTTTCATGACAAAGGTAACTTAATGCGAAACAGTGGAGAGTTAACTACACTGCCAAAAAGTGAAGGCTAACGGTACCCAAAGATATTTTTCTATAAAAAAAAAAAAAGTTATGAGACCCTTAGAATGGTTACGCACTTGTATGATGTGTACTATATTTTATGTTACCTTAATAAAATAAAATGACATCAATTTTGAAGTCATGCTTCTGAACTGTTTTAGACATCATGTGCTGGGCATTTATTTCTTCATCTACAACATTAAAAGATGACACCCATCTACATTGATGCGTGGGTTTCCAGACGGTCTGAATGAGATTTCAAATAGACACAGGAACTCCGAAAGGCCCCGAACGCTACGCACGGCAGGATACACAGACGGGCTCTTACCAGTACAGTCACATTCTGGAGAGTCCTCAGGTCTCTGAAATTGCTGTCGGCCAGTTTCCGGGCCTTTCTGATGTGAGTCCTGAGGTAGTGGTTTGCCATGAAACCATAGATGATACCAATGCTGCGGGGAAAGCATGGGAGAAGGAAGAGCGTTTCCCGGGTGCCCGCCCTCGGGGGATGGCCAGGTGCAGGCAGCATGCTGACGGAGAGGGGCAGGGCCCTGAGCAGGGCCCCAGAGGGACAGGACCCTGCTCCCCACCCAACCCCTCTCTCCACTGCTGCAGCCTCCCTCCGTGATCCCATGATGCACCCACCACCTCCACCACCACGTGGGCCGCAGAGCAGGAGCCCGTCTGCTCAGGAAAGACACAGAGCCACCGTCTGCTCAGGAAAGACACAGAGCCACGTAAATGCACTGTTCTGGTAAATAGTGAATCGAATAAATGGGACAATGTTCATGATACACTGTGAGGGAAACAGTAACTGACAAAGGGTACAGGGCAGTAGTGTGTGCAATAGTCACATTCCATACAGATGTGATTGCAGGTACACACCCTCTGGTGCAGCACACACACACACACACACACACACACACACACACTCTCACACTCTCTCTCTCACACACACACACACACCTCTGCTCCCCCAAAGAAGACTATCAAGCAAAATACCAAAATGATAAGACTGCTTTGGGCTTTCTATCAGTGTGGTTTCTCTAATTATCTCTGTTAGTTTTTGTATTGTCTGGGTTGAAAAAAACATGAGTCACTTTAGCTGGAAAATGCTGTATGAAAGCTGTGAACAATAATGTACATGCTGTACCATCCCATTTTACGTAAAGCACGGAACCATGCAGGGTGATGCTGCTTAAAGTCGTGGTTATATTTGGGGAGAGGTAGATAATGATGTAATTGGTGTGTCCACTTCATAGAAACTCATAAATATGTATTTATGCCAGGGACTCTTTTCATGTTGGAAAACATACTTCAATAAAGACTTTCAAAAACAGTATCTGAAAGGCTCCTCTACCTGAAAATACAACACATTTTTCAAGCCAAAAAAGGTCTAAATTTAATCATTCTGGGGGCTTTTAATGTTGACTAGTTACTAACAATCTCCTGACTTAAATTAATTTGACCAATCAGTTTGTTTTTATGTCAAAGCCTTAGTTAGAACATGAAAATGTCACATTTAAAAATGGCTAATTACCAAGGCTTTGCTAAACATAGCCACTAGGTGGCAGTAAAGAATTATATGAACATAACAACAGACCAATTTACCTACAGAAGTCAGTAACAAAACTGTTAAATTTGCCCTAACCAGTTTGGCTCAGTGGATAGAGCATCGGCATGTGGACTCAAGGGTCCCAGGTTTGATTCCAGTCAAGGGCATGTACCTTGGTTGTGGGCACATCCCCAGTGGGGAGTGTGCAGGAGACAGCTGATCGATGTTTCTAACTCTCTATCCCTCTCCCTTCCTCTCTATAAAAAATCAATAAAATATAGTTTTTAAAAAACTGTTAAGTTTGTAACCATTCAAAATAGAAGGTAAGGATAGAACAAAGTCTTGATAGAACAAAGTTTTGCAAATAAGGGACAAACTTTGGGGAGAAAATCCTGATGCAGAATGTCAATACCCTGAGTCTGCACCAAAAGCAAAGTCTCCGGCTTTATGCATTCATATATTTACAGGTAGGGAGACCAGGTATCTGTGTTTGCATCAGAAGTTCCGTGTCCCCAGGGGACCTCTCAGTCTTGGGAACATGGAGACAGTCATTCACCCAGTTTATAGTCATCATTCATTCCAAGGAGCATCTGTTCATCATCGGTCTTACTTAAAACATTTCCCCATAGCAGTATCACTTAAAACATTTCCCCATAGCAGTATCACATTAGTTTCCCAAACTATTCCAAAAAAAAAGTCTGTAATGCACAATATTCAACAATATTTCTCAGGTTTACCGAGTCCCAGTGGAATGTGTACTAGAGTAGAAACACAAGATTTTGCCACTATTATTACCCATAACTCATACTGTGTGAGCTAGAGAAAGCCACTCTCCTTCTGTGAGCTTCAGTTGGTATCACAACATTGAAAACTAGAGAAGTGCTTGTCAAGCCATGGGGAGAGGGGTACTGGATGTCTATGAATTTTATTTTTAAGTGTGGGTTCGTGCTGATGGTAATCTATCTATCTATCATCTATCTATCTATCTATCTATCTATCTATCTATCATCTTCGGTGCCATTTGGAATGACCACCTTATAATCCATTGCTGTCAATCTCAAGTCTGCATTGGTATTTATGAGGCCTACTTCATACCATAGCAATAATAGTTAAGTGGTGCACTCATGCCAAATAAAGTCAAATGACCCAAAATAATGACTTTGGAGCAGCGTGGTCAGAAGGGGAAAACAAGTTGAGTCATAACAATGTATTTGGAGCTTTATTTATCATGCCAAATTCCAAGCATCAATGACAAGTCAGGGTCGTCACCTACATACACCTGCCCACAACATGGTTTCTTACTGGGGTCCTTGCTGTCTCTCCCCAGCATGTCCAAATTATTTGTCATTCATCATGCTCCAGACCCATCGTGCCATAGAGGAAGTCAAAGTGGACTTGAGAAACAACAGCAAGTCCAAGTCCTCTTGGCTTTCACTGGCTCCCACCCCCATGGAACCTGGAACTCCCAGAGAGCTCTTCTGAAATTCTGATGGCCTGTTTCTCACTTCATACTCTATTTTGTCTTTATTTTTACCTGTGCTTAATTTCTCTAAAAAGAGATGAAAACTGCTTCTTTGTCAATTTTGCATAACCCGGGGGCCTCTGACCTGTGGTGGGTTCTCTGTGAAGGTGCTTTTAGAGACTAGACTTTGTTTCATTTGGTCTATTTAGAAGATTAGTCATAGGTCTGGAGTGTCCAAGTCAGAAACTGTCTTTGATCCTTTATTGAATAAACGCCTTTACTTACAAGATCATCAATCAGTAAAATGAGTTGCAATATGACACTGAATTTCAATGCAGCATGCAGTATTTCAAAAGACCCACATTTCTGCTGATCAATTATGGGTCCAATTAAAATGAAAGCATTGGTCATTTTTTAAAAACTGTACTAAACAGAATTCTGGAATAGAATTCAGCAACTGTCAAAGCTGATTTTTAGACCCATATGCCACATTGTAAATTTTATTTGTAAATTAAGCATGGAAAATTCAGATGCCTACCTGGGCAGGCAGGAAGCGGGAAGGCAAGGAGTGTGGCAGAGACCTATGGGAGTAAAGTAGAAGGTGGGGGTGGGGCAGATGCCCTGCAGCCCTAGCAGGTGCCCCCAAGATGGCAGACCAGTACTGCCAGATCTTCCCCAAAATCTGGAAATCTGCATTCTTATGTAAAAATCTCCCATTTTAAATATTAGCAACTATTCAAAGAAACAAGAAACTTTAAATACCAGGAAAAACAACTGGTTTCCATTTGTAATCTCTAATTTGAAACTTCTATCTAAACACAAAAGCTATCAAAACATGTACTTTTTTATGCAGTACAATAAAATCTCTTGAAATGTTTAACAGAAGATAACCATATTACTTTTATGGCAAATTAGCATTATATCTTCTGTATTTTGTAATTGACAGACCAATTTTGTCATGTATACACTTAAAAGTAAATACTTAAAGCTTTTAAAGAGTAAGGCCACACCTTTGAAACTCGTAGTAATTTTTTTTCTACCAGTTTCTACTGGCTTAATGAAATTAGCCAGTGAAAGCCAAATCAATGTTTTCGGTCTCTATCTGATCTCTTATTTTTTTAAAGATAATTTTTAAGTTTAAAATTTAAATAACTAGCCTTCTCATTCACGTTAAGAAAATCTCATGATTTTCACACAGGCTAGTTCAATTTCTCTTCTGGAACCCTGTGGCCTCCAAGCCAGGAACGGACAGTCACATCCTTATGAAAAATGAACTTTGGAAAATGGCCATCTTCCTGAAAAGTGACCGGGATTCCATTTTCACCAGGATAATTGGCAAGAGCTGACTTATCACACTCAGAAACCTAGACATGTGCTGGAGAAATACAGGCCTCAGTGCTCTTTTTGGTTGTCTATAACCTTTCTTGAAATTCAGAAAAATGCAGTGGCGACAAGTACAAGGGAAAGAAAGAAGGGAAAACTTGGCTTTGTCCGCCGCGAGGCACATCTACTTAAACAGTTTGCAGCGAGGGGTGGGAATTCCATCTCTGGCTGGTGGTCACACAGACGGACGTAAACACATGTCGGCGTGTGTGGAATTGTAGATGCACAGCGGCCTTTGTGAAAACCCACACACAGGGAGAAGCTCACCACATATAGTCCATATTACTAGGGGTGCCTTCTCCTTGACACCTATCCCTTTCTCAATTAAAAAAGAAAAAAAAAACTATTTTTTTTTTAATAAAAAAAAAGGGTGGATGAAAAATTAGAGCACTCAAGACTAATTTACACACCAACTCCATTTTTAATTGTGACACTTCCTATAGAGACACAAATAGAATTGAACTTGATAAAAGGCAAGTGAACGACCATGCCGGGGTTTCTGAATTTAAAAAAAAAAAAATCACATATAAAGATCAATTATCAGCAGTACCCGTCTCTGCTGAGGCCATGTGGGCCTGCGGCTAACAGCTTCTTCTCTGTCCTTTTCTGCCTCCTGCTTTTGTTCACATGCCTTCCCTCTTATCTCATCTTCTGCTGTCAGAACGTACTTTCCTCTCCTTCCTACCTAATCACAATGCAGAAAGCTGTGTGCTCCCCTGGTCTCCGCACTTCTGGGGTAACTTTGATTACTTATGGATAACACATAGCTATTATTCAACTCATGGTGTTGAAGAGACTTGCAAACGAATAGGGGTTTTTAAACAGAAGACATCAAAATAGCTTTTTCTAGATTTAATCATTCAAGGTAAAGAAGTTTAAACTTCTAGTCTGTACTTTATTAAACAAACCTATCTCAAATACTACTTTTCTATTTATAATTCATATATAAATTCAATGTGTGCTGTGAGATAAAAGTTTTAAAAATGTCACGTAGCCTCAAGTAATTGGGGCTCCTTGGAATCTTGTTTCTCAAACTTAATTCATCCCAGAATGCTGTTCAAGAAGCGATTTGTTTGAACTCTGAATCATTTCTTCCCCCCATTAGAAATAATGTAAATTGAATTAATCCATTCCAGACCCCCAAATGACTCCCTGTTTTAACCTTTCTTATATACAGTACATGATTAATGTACTGTTTAAGCTATAAATATATGCTTCTTTTCTGAAATTTATTGAACCACCCCCTACTAGCCTTAACTGAATTTTTCATATATCACTGTCTCCAAAATACTATCACACTATCACCTGCAAACGGCTGTTCTTTTATCCAATCAACAACAGTTTTTCTACCTATTCAATTGCCTGGAATTATTGTTTTGTGAACACTCGTATACCCTTAGCAACATTAGCACTCTTGATGGCCTCTTTATGTTTTAAAATTGTGCTAATCATGCATTAGCAATAAATAAATAAATAAATAAATAAATAAATAAATAAATAAATAAATAAATAAAAGCATTCTCTCCTTTGTTTTTAAACAAACATGAAGGGGTTGTGAGGTCGAAAGCTCAAGTTTTGGTTGACAACCAAGACATTTTTTCTGTGAACAACCTGGTCGAGAACTGAATTGTTCGAGATGTTTGATTGTACTTCATTTCTGTGGCTGGCAGGCTGGTTGAATGAATGAGGAAATGTGGAATGATGAAGAATATCACAACCACAGAAGGCAGGGGCCAATGTCATAGAGCACATTCCTCAGCTGAGGAATCTGATTTAAACTCTTAACAAAATGTCACCATCCTAAAATAAAAGCAGGATACTTCAGATCTGCTAGTCAGTTTGAAAACTTTCAGCAGTACAAGCCACAGAAAAAAACATCCTAAATTGGGACGTGTGCTCCAGACTTTAAGAGAAGGGAGCAGCTTAATTGCAAATTCAAGAAACTAGATACAGTGTTAGAAAGTTCATCCCATTCTCCAATATTCTCCAATTGCAAAACTCGGGGACCGTGCCCATCCTTTAAGATCTCCTTGGACATACAAATCAACTAGCTAATACTTGCTCTGCCATTCTGCAGGCTGCCTGTCCCCAATAGCTAGTCAAGAGAAGGGAGATGGCTCAGTGGTTGAGCATGGACCTAAGAACCAGGAGGTCACAGTTCGATTCCCAGTCAGGGCACATGCCTGGGTTATGGGCTCAATTCCCAGTAGGCAGCGTGCAGGGCAGGAGGCAGCCAATCCATGATTCTCTCTCATCATTGATGTTTCTCTCTCTCTCTCTCTCTCTCTCTCTCTCTCTCTCTCTCTCTCTCTCTCTCTCTCCTTCTCTCTCTCCTTCTCTCTTCCTCTCTGAAATCAATAAAAACGTTGTTTTAAGAGAAGGGGGGGTGGGAGCCACCTTTCTAGGAGGTAAATGCTTCCTGCAGTCTAAGGTTCACCAGAATGTCTTCAAAGTGAAGAAGCATGGAAGGGCTGGCTGAGCACGTAGGTTAGGGCAGCTTGGTGACAAGGCTAGCTGCTGGTCACAGTGACATCTTTCTGAGCCATCCTGGACATGTTTGTTCTCTCTCCTGTTTTTGGAGGGTTTTGTTGTTGTCATTTCATTTTAAACTAACTCACGGGCTTAACAGGTAAAACACGAGGCAGTCCTCCTCCACCCAAAACCCAGGCAGCTGCTGCCAGAGACCCTACTCGCCTCATAAGCACGCAGAGGATCAGGAGGGCAAGGGCGTAGTACTTCCTCCGGAAGGGCCCGTCCTCCGTCTGCCGCTGGTGCATTTCTCCGCCGCACCTGTTGAGGCAGCGGCACAGGCCGAAGCAGAGCCCCACCAGCGGCATGAGGATGACGAAGAGCAGCCCCAGGACAACGCCGAAAAGAACCCCGATCTCATACTGGATGACCTGCAAGTCAAGCAGAAGAATCCGCATGTGCCGGGGCCCAGAAGAAGGGGAGCAGCCCCCCCCTCCCCCCGTGAACACTCTTCATTTTCTTGAACCTGTTTGACACTCTGAGCACATATTCCCACTTGGAAGCTCCTCTTGAAACAGAGGCAGCAGAGATTTGAGCGACGCGAACATGAGGTCGGCCGTTTCTATCCTCTTTCAACTCCTGAGAAAACGTCCAAATACAGGGTCAAGTTGCAAATGGTTTTATTTCAACCCCAGACATAGTGTGTTTAAGTGCTGTACCAATGTTGGCAGAAGTGCTTGCGTAATGAAGACATATAGGGTGTTTTTTAACCAGAAAAATAGGACCAGTGGAGGTTATCAAGGATTCAAAGCAGTTGGATTGAATCAATTAATGTCAAGTTCATGGTCAGTTACAAAAGAAGCTGGAATACACTGAAATTTAGAAAACAGGATCAGACTTTCTGAGCCAGATGTGGCCACTCAGTTTCCTCACCCACACACTGGGAATAACATACTTTGTATGGTCATTGTGACCACTGCGGGTAATGTAGGAGTAGCAACAACGTGCCAAGTACAGCACCAGGCATGGGGTGGACTCCTACTAAGTGGCACTGAGAGCCAGTGAGGCTGGGCACGGCTGCCTGGGTCTCAGACAGTTACTAGATGCCTAGATGCTTAGCAACTGGCACAAATTCTAGATATAAGCATGTGACCAAACTATGTTTCCATAATCGCTCCTGATTTTATTCTAGGAGACATAAAAATTTGTGCAACTGCATCACGAAACTTCATCTCATTCCAACTCAATGCAGTTACGTTTTCCATAAAATAAGACATTTTTAAAGAATGGCAGAAAAATTATAGGTTGGCAGTTTGCAACAAGGGGCCAGCTAGTCACTTAGCAACAGGTTCTACAGCCAAGCTGAGCCAAGTGAATGAAACGTAAGTGTTGGTCCCAGGAGCCAACGTGATCTTTTTAGAGGGAAGGCTGAGCTTGGAGTCAGAAGACGGGCCTTCAATCCCGGCAGGGGCGTCTGGTTCCCTGAACTGGAAAGCGTTACAGTAGCACCAACCCTATAGCACAGTGTGAGGGACACACAGTTAGTGGTTTAATGGGAAGACAACTAGCCAACTGCCCAGCATGCAGCAAATACTCAACTCCTAGTGGTTACCTCTGGGGGCAAATGCTTAAGAGTATTAAGTCAGGGGCACATGGCACTCGATATTATCTATTCAGATATTGAGGTTAGGATGCTAAAAGAAAAAAAAAGTGGCAAAATTTTGCCACATTCTTCAAGTACCTGGTCCTAATTAAACTAAGGCCCATGACAGGGAGAGTTTTCATTGGCTCCCTTGAGGATTTACATCATTAGCCAATTGAGAAACCAACCCCAAACTCTTATTTATACATTTTGCTATAGTTTCTCAGCAAATATTCTAAATTACTTACTATTTTTCAAGGAATTTATAATCCTTTCTGAGTCTTAAGAAACACTGAACCCAAACCCAGGAGAGAAAGTGTATTGACATGTTTTAAATATCCTCTCCTTAGCTCCAAACACAAATTTTATCTCTGATACACAAGCTTTCCTATGTTACTAAATATTAGGTCAGACAGTATAAGGACAGATGTCATTTCATGGGCCTCAATGACATTCTGAAACACCAGGATCTCTGGGGCGCTTTGGGAACTGCCTTGAAGGGAAGATCGGGATCTGAATTTGCCAAGATGGGTCACTTTTCTCCCCTGAACTACTACAACTGAAGGACAATTAAAGACAACTATGGCAGAGACCAAAGTGAAACCAATCATCTAAAGACCATTATGGTGGACATGACAGTGAAGGAGAGGAAGTTCTGGAAAAAGCATTACATTGACCCAACTCGCTGGCTTTAGACAGAGCAATGGGGACGAGCAGACAAGGACTTTACCTGCAGAGTCAACACCACGCTTTCTGGCTGTGGAGGCCACAGCAGTGGAGTTTGTGGGAGGCGGAGGCAGCGTGCATCAAGAAAACAGAAAAAGTTGCATGAGAGGTCAGCCGCAGAGAAAAGTCGGGTGAGAGAAAGACCAACACAAGGCAGACATAGAAACCTTGAGTGCTTGTTGGAGGCAGAGTGCTTTGGTAGAATCAAGTTCTGGAACTTACATTTGAATCACATTTGGATTTCTGGGAAGGTTTTGAATAGTACACTGATCAGGTATGGAGAGGGGACTGGGAAGGAAAGATGCAATTGCTTAACACGCTACCCATGTGGCCTTCGTAAAATAGAGAAGTGGCAGCTGCCTAGAGCCCCAGAGCCAAAGGCACCACCTCCCAAAGTATCCTTTCTAAGATAAAAACCCGGTGGTATCACTGCCTCGCCTAATAGCATCCCATGGGCCTCACTGTGTTTAAGTCAGGTTTCTTAATGTGGCCCAACAGGGCTACCCCTGGCTTCATGGCCCCATTCGCCCCGACCACTGCAGTCTCCAGAAAGCACCTGCTCTCTCCCCTTCCTCACTCTGGGCTCCCTCATGTTGCCTCCTTGTCCAGAATATCTTTCCCATTATGCTTCCCCCCCCAAAACTAAACATCCTTTGTTGTATGCTCCTCCTCGTCGAGATAGACTGAGATTGCTGCCCATCCTCCTTCACGCTGCCTTGGAGTCCTTTACTTGCCCTTTCACAGCACTCACTCCACTTGGGGTGACTGGCTGTACGTTCAGGGGCATGGAGAACAATGACAGCCACCCTTGCCATCCTCTCCCCAGTGCCAAGCCCAGGACCTGGCATACAATAGTTGCCTATTCAGAATCAGATAAATGATGAGTTGAGGGACTAGGAGCCACTGCCTAAGACCAACGATTTCTAAATGGTGGCCCACAGCGATGAAGATGGACCAACCCTCAGGGAAGTCAAAAAATAAGATGTAATGAGTTTCCCATAAAGCAAAATTCACTCAATTTATAAGACTATCTTTTTTTGGGGGAGGGGGCGGTGGAGGAGGTGAAATGTATATAAAAGGAAACAAAAGTTATTATGGTTGACTTAGTAAATGTCCTTATGTGGCAAAATGAAATTAGGTGGCTCCAGGTCATTCCCCAGATTACTTCTTTGAAACTGTCTGGTCCAAGAAATCCAAGTATAGAAACTATTGTTTTAGATGGCAGATTTCCACAGATGGGAGAGAAGAATGTGACAGTATTAACTTTTAAATGAGATATCCAAAATGTTGGCGGGGGCAGTTCAGATACCTTTGCCTCCAGGGTCACATGGGGCATGCTGAATGACCTCAGCCTGGCTTCCTGGGTAGGGGCCCTGCCCCCAGGCTTGATTCCTCCCAAACTCACTACCACGGGCACCCCACAGTGCATGTTAAACACTGACTTCAGGCTCCTCCCCTGAAGAGGGTGTCAGGAAATTCGGGGAAGAGCAGGAACCTTTAAAATGGCCCTGGTAGTGGCTGTGAGTAGGAAACGGGCTGTTGGCGCCCATGTTGGGCTGCAGACAGGCAGCACAGCCTGTGAGCTACACCAGGCAGCTGATTGTTCTGTTTCATTCCCTCCCTCGACGTCAGCCTGTCTGTCATGTCTGATGGGGCACCAACAAACCCCTCTGGTGAGCGGGGTGCCTTTCCACCTTCTCCCTGCCATGCTGGTTGTCATGCATGTACATCATTGCGATGCCATGGTTTGCAGCTCAGCCCTGCCACTGCGTGTCTGCATTTTCCTATTTTACACGGTTACTGCAAAGACAACCTGAGAAACAGTGAGGAGCAACATGCTTTCTGCATCATTCTGTTCTAAGTGCTTTGCATGTACTATTTCGTGCATGTTAAGTGGGTTAGGTCATGTGGAGTACAGACCAGAGCCTGTCAGTGTAATGCTCAATCAGTAACAATAAGAAGTAGTAATCAGTGCACACCAGCATTGCTCTCATGCCCGAGCTCCAGTGAGCCTCAGATGATGATCCGGTCAAGGGCATTCTTTGCACAGCTTTCTATTCGCTCTCGCACCGCCTTCTGCGATACCTAGAAGACGCCTTCCTCATTTGGAAAGGAGAGCATGTTCCTACAGGCAGTGCATCATCACGCTCTTCAGTTGCTCCTAAAAACAACATGGGTTTGAACAGAACAGGTCTGCTCATACTCAGATTTTTTCAATAAATATGCAAAGTATTGCAATATATTTTTTCTTCCCTATGACTTTTTAATAACACTTTTTCTAGCTTCCTTTATTGTAAGAACACAGTACACAATACATATAACATACAGAACATGTGTTACTCAATTGCTTATGTTATCGGTAAAGCCAACAGTGGGCTATGGGTAATAGAGTGAAGGTACCTATAGTCAAGCTATGTAATCAAGTAGGTTGAGGTATGAGGAAGTGATGCTATTTTTTCCTGTAAATAGCCTGGGAACTTAAACGTTTGAACTTTCAAGCCCAGTATCAATGTCTAGATATACAGTGGAACCTCGTTTCTTGAACTTAATCCCTTCCAGAAGGCTGTTTGAGAAGCGATTTGTTCAAAAACAGAATAATTTTTTTCCCATTAGAAATAATGTAAATTGACTTAATCTGTTCCAGACCCTCAAATGATTCTGTTTCAACCTTTCTTATATACAGTACATGTCTAACTTATCAATAAACACTTCTTTTCTTAAATTTGTGCAACCACTCCCTACTAACCTTAAAGAAATTTTTCACATATCGCTCGCTACCTCCTAAATGCTATCACCAGTTAACTGCTTTTTCTTTATCCAATCAACAACAGTTTTTCTATTTATTCAATCGCTTGTGATTGCTGTTTTTTTTTTTTGTTTGTTTGTTTTGTTTTGTGATTGCTGCTTTGTGAGCACTTTCACACCCTTAACAACATTAGCATTCTTTTGGCCTCTTTATATTTTAAAATTTTGCTAATCACCAGCAACAAAAGCATTCTCTCTTTGTTTGTAGGAAAGATGCTTTTTGTCATGCTGAGCTATCAGCATGGAAGGGTTGTCAGGTTGAAAACTGAAATTTTGGTCAACAACCAAGACTTTTTTCCCTGTGAACAACTTGGTTGAGAACCGAATTGTTTGAGATGGGAGACATTCAAGAAAGGAGGTTAGACTGTACATCAAATCTCTGTCCACCCCGTAAAGGCCTAAGGCGAGAATGTCCACATATCCAGACCCTTTGACATCCAGCATCCAGACCACCGGGTCACAGAGAAGATCATGACCTCAGACCAACCCAGAGGCCAAGGACACAGGGTTAGTCTCAAGAACGTGACTCTCCTGTAACAATTCTGACCGTGGCTCTCTCCTTTGGAACACTTCTGGGGTTTGTTAGCTGTGTTCAGTCTGCAGACTCTAAGACCCATGAATACATCTTTGTCATTTATTTCTAGCAAAACCTCCAGGCTCTTTTTGAGTCTCTTCAACAGCTATTGGTAATTAAGGATTTAGGGAGTCAAAAGCTATACCCGAATTTTGACTACATGGGCGTTGGCACCCCAACCCCCACATTGCTCAAGGAACTTCTCCATTAGCTAAGGAAGTAGCCTACTACTGCCTTTACGGAAATTTTAGTTTTTAAATAACATAAAATTTGAAAGGTGAAGGTTTCTTTCAATGCTCCTTTTGTCATTTTTGCTGTAGTTCAAATGAGATTTATAAGGTGCTCCAATATTCCACAAAAGTTCATCAAAAAAGGTTTTTCAGATTACATAACCAGTTGCTTAAAGATTTACTTTTCAAGTCAGTCAAAAATTTTTCATACTTATTTTAATAACAAATACATCAACAAAAATTACCTTCCCATAATCCATTGAGAGTTCAAACTTCTTTTGTAGGACTTCTCTTACAAGATCTGGGGGGGGGGGGGGGGGGAGACAGAACAGTGGCAAGATTAATTTTTCAATAAAAGTATAAAATGTATATTTAGAGAATAAAAGTCTATATATATTCACAAATTATTGTACCTCTCTATATTAGTGTATTCTTAGAATTTTATTCCTATTTCTGAATGCAGATAAATAATTGAGCTGATGAGGCTCTTAACCATAGCAAAGACAGAAGGGCAAATACACTTGACTTAACTACTTTGCCAGTGGCAGAATAGAGAGCTGCTATTTTTAAGAGTTTTCAGTTTCTCGCAATACACCTTAATATTTATCAGCAAACCACAAACACTTTATTAAAAGTCACTGATAAAATGTTACACAGATTCTTCATTATTTGGAACCACAAGTGCAATTCCTTTTCTAATAATTTCACATATATAATATTTTACAAATGAAAGGCTTCTTATCATGAACCTAACCCAAGAGTTCCAAATCACATGAGACATCCTTTCCATCTCATCTCCAAACACTGCATAGGACCCTGGAAATTTCAGCTACGCAAAGCTGAACTTTTCCATGCATGTTCAATTTGGGCTAAATTCTCACATAGGTTAAGAGCCACTTCTTCTAACTCACCAATCTAGTAATAATATGCACAACTGGCTCTGGCTGGTGTGACTCAGTGGTTAGAGTGCTGGCCTGTACACCGAAGGGTTGCAGGATTGATTACCGGTCAAGGGCATGTACCTAAGTTGCAGGTTCCATCCTTGCGCCCCACCCCCAACCCCACCCCGCCAATGGGGCAAGTGCAGGAGGCAATCAATTGATGTGTCTCTCCTCTTTCTCTCCCTCCTGCTTGTCCCCTCCTTTTCACTCTCTCTGAAAATCAATGGGAAATTGCTGGGAGCCGGTCCATCCTTGCTGTTTCAAGGGACCCGGCATATATGGCATACTGTTCTTAATATGTTTGCTCACCTTCTTGGCACTATGTGTTTTAACCAAGGTCTCTGAGAAAGGTTGTTTCCCCAGGTAGGGATTTTCCCCTGAAGTTAGGGAGGCAATAAAACCTCTTAACTAAGTGCCAGGCGGGTAATTAATCACTTTAACTATGAACAATCATGCTTAAGCTACATAATCTTTACTCCCTGGAATGGAGATAAGAAACGCCCTAACCTTTGTAATAGAGATTGATAGGATTGGAATCAACTGGTATAAATACAGATGTAAGAAGACAGAACTAAGAAGACAGAACCTACACAGAACCTAGAGACAGAAGAACTTCGCTGGAGAGAACATGGCAAAAGATCCTGGACTGAACCTGACTACAGAAATTGGCAAGAGAACCTGACTAGAACCTGGTGACTGAACCTGGCTGGAGAACCTGGACAGAACCTGGCTGGAGAACCTAGCGAGGGAACATGGCTACAGAACCTGGCTGGAGAACCTAGCGAGGGAACATGGCTACAGAACCTGACTGGAGAACCTAGCGAGGGAACATGGCTTCAGAACCTGGCTGGAGAACCTGGAGAACCTAGCAAGAGAACATGGACACAGAACCTGGCTGGAGATCCTAAGCAGAACTTCTCTGGAGATACAGACCAGAACTTGGCTGGAGATCCTGGCTGGAGATCCTGGCTAGGCTGCTGATCAACTGAACACTGTCTCCGTGTCATTCCTTCTTCACCGACTCCATCCACGCCTTTGGGGACCCCTGGACCTGCTGGGGTTGGACCCCAGCAGGAAATTACTAATATATTTCACTAAGTCAAACAAATTTGGAAATTTCTGGTTATTTGGATAATTTGACTTAGTTTACCTTTTATCAAAAAAAAAATGTTTAAGGAGCCAACTCATTGCATGAAACTGTTTAAATCTTATCGAATCAGCCCAGTAGGTGTGATCAGCTCTGATAGCTGAGAGGTTAATTGAAAAAGAAAAAGCAGGAAAGCATGCCTTAGACCAGCAGTTCTCAACCTGTGGGTTGCGACCCCTTTGGCGGTCAAACGATCCTTTCACAGGGGTCGCCTAAGACCATCCTGTATATCAGATATTTACATGACGATTCATAACAGTAGCAACATTACAGTTATGAAGTAGCAACAAAAATAATATTATGGTTGGGTCACAACATGAGGAACTGTATTTAAAGGGCCAGAAGGTTGAGAACCACTGCCTTAGACATTTTATTTTAACTTAAGGCATAACAATCAATACATATCACCATCATTTGAAGAGAAGCTGGGGTCCTGTTTTGAGAATAGAGGTGAGTTAAAATGGCATCTATGATAAAAGAAAGCTCCTCAGTTATTTAAAGGCCGACTTGGGCCAACCACCCCATCTCCAAGACACAAGCTTAAGGTTGATGAAAATGGTGTCATCGCTGACAAAGTCACACCACCTACACACAGCATGGGTATTTCAGAGAAAGCACTGGGTGATCATAGAGCCTCCCTCAAGGTACAAGTGGACCTGGCTTATTTGATTCTTCAGTGATAGGAATGGGAAGAGGGCTAGGCTTTTCTCTAACTAAACACTCCTCCCCAACCTAATCTCCAACCATTGGGATCATTGTGTCAGTCAGGGCTCTGTAAAGAAACAGAACCTGTAAGAGACAGAGATGGAGACAAGGATAGAGCTACAGATAAGCTAGAGCTAGAGATACATATAGAAAGCTTTATTTTAAGGAGCTGTGGGGATGAAATCTTTAGGGCAGGCTGGCCGGCTGGAAACTCAGGCAGGAGTTGATGCTACAGTCTTGAGGTCGAATTTTTACTTCTGCCGGAAATCTGTTTTTTCTCTTAAGACCTTCAGCTGATTGGATGGTGCCCACCCAGTATAAAAAGCAATGTCCTTCACTTAAAGTCAACTAATTAGAGGTGTCAGCCACATCTACAAAACACTTCCACAGCAACACCTGGATTGGAGTTTCATTAACTCGTTGGGAACTACAGCCTGGCCAGGTGGACACAGAGATCTCACCAGCGCCCCACCAAGGCTGGCATTGCTCCCCGCAGAAGAGGGATGCCCAGTAAGCGAGCTGGAGCAGAGCGCACCTGAGCACCCCCGGTCAGTACCTATGACCAGGCAGACTCACCACCATCAAGGTCCACTCCTGACCACCCAAGCCCCCGCCGAGCAAGGGGCCACATTTGGGGCCCCATTAGTGCAAGAGCGGGACCTCACATAGTCTCTGAGGACAACTGATCTTGAATGGTGGCCCTTAACCACCCCCTAGAACTGACATATGTTATGTGTGCTGAGTTTAAAGGGAGGCAATCAAATGGCTTTTGAAAAGATTTCCAGCGGAAAATGGCAGAACTACACTAACTTGTCACTTGTAAGGTTAGGCGGCTCTTCTCGGAGAACGCACTCAGCAAGCCCGTCTGCCAGCAGCCCCGCTTCGTGAAGAGTGTTCTCTGTTTGCCGTTGGGGTGAACACCATCTGTCCTCTCCTTGGCTCACATTCTCCTGGCTAATGTGGGTGAGGCTGAGCTGAGCGTGAAGAAGTGATTCTGGGGCCCCAATACGATGCGGCTACGTTGGGCCCTAGAGTCCACCCAGCCCCGGAGCAGCCTCTTTCCTGCAGGCGCGGCTGGCGAGCCTGTCTGCATCTAGTGCTCCGGGGACATGCACTTTTCACCGGCACCTCACGCGGCCACGTCCTGCGCTCTCAGTTTCACGGCGCCCTTCATCCTGCAGTTCAAATTCTCTGTCAACATGACTGACCTCTTTGGTTAGGTTTTTAATAAGGAAATGGAGGCTTCAGACCTTTAGAAGCCACGCCAAGTTTGTTAGAACTTGTCAAAAGTATCCCCATGCCTCCAAGTGTCTGATCAAGTATTCCGTTACTTAAGATGCAACCAGGCACCTTGGCATGCTTTATTCCTCCGTGACAGCTGTCAACACGTGGCTGTGCGAGCCTCCTCCCTAGAGGACTGGTGCACTGGTGTACATGGGCTTGTCCCAGGATTAACCATGGCACTGACTCTCTCGAAGAAGAAGAAAAATGCTCGTAAAAAAAACGCTGCTAGGGAAGCTATTCTTGTGAAAATATCTGGGGCCAGTCTGGTCCTTGTAGCTTTCTCCAGACACATGTCCACACCAATCCACCAATTGTGAACTGGGATTTAATTTTATCTTTACAACAGGTGACCAAACCTGTTGCTGGCGAAATTGCCCTTAAATCACCTCAAATTCTTTCAATAGGAGCAGGTGCCCCCTCAGTCGCACAGGTAAGGGAGACTTCTGGGGTCTCCTGGGGCTTGGAATCCTTGACACTGTGTGTCCCATAAGGGCTCAGGGCCCAAGAGCCTCCCTAGGGCTGGAAGGGGCCCAGGACCTGAGACAGGCAGGGCAGCCTTGCCACCAGTGACGAATCCAGGGAGGGGGCAGGGAACACAGCCAAAACAGCCAAGGATTCCCGTGGTGTTTGGTTTCCTCCCCTAAGACATTCCTGGAAAGTGTAATTGTTTCTGAGGAAAATTCGCCTGGAGGATCTCTGAAAGGAATGTGGCCTGAATCACATTATTTCTTGGTCTGTCCCGGGTCCATGTGACCTCACACTCCTGTGAGAATGGGGATCGGCTGAATCCTATTCTCAGCTGCTGACTGTCAGCTACTGACAGTCACCACCCCCAACAGGGAACAGAAAGTGGGATAGGAACAGAGTGAGGGGGAACCTCTTTTTCTGGGTATACTTTGAGCTTACTTTTAATTTTTAAAAGAATAAAGTTTTATAAATAAGGAACTTTTATTGACATACTTCTCTACCCCACCCCTCCTAAAAAAAGAACAAAAAGAAGACAGTTCTAACACTATCAAGTTACAAATTCCACTGCCTATAAGTGTTCATCAGATTTTATATCTTCTGTACGATATGTGACCTGGAGCCATTTTTAGACTATTTCAGTTTTTAGTATTTGTCATTTAAAAAGGGAAAAAAAAAAAAAAAACTGGGGGGAAAAAAACCCTAAAATCTTCAAAAATTTAGGTGCTACCCAATAAGTAATCATCAGAAAAGAAATAA